ATATATTTTATTACATGTAAATTCAAGAATGACGACAAATAATGTAAAACGTATCACGTAAATTGGAAAATGAAGCTGGTTTCATCGATAATTTGAATGTTTTACTGATCATAAATACATTTACCTATAACTATTATTTAAAAAACAATAGATATAATACATAAAAAGAACAGTGAAATAATAAAAGTAATAACTATTACAACACAATAACTATTTGAAGGATAATCTTTTAATTAATACATTTTTCTTTGGCTTACATTAACTACTATTCTTTTTACATATTTCTATTATTACAATATACTTTCATATCGCTATTAATAGTATAATCTACTCACTTACAGAATTATTATATAAGAATTATTATATGAAAAGAAAATTTTATTATACTGATAGTGAATGTAAACGTTAATTTTCTTTTATAATCTGTCGTGTTTTTATAATCAAGTCACGTAACAACGATATTTTTAAACTTTTAATGTAGGGATTTGTAAATTTATAAAACAAGCTGAAGCAACTCTCCATACAAATATAAAAATCATTTAAAATTTCAGCAAACGTGTATGGTTTGATTCTTACAAATCGTGAAAGTATTTTCGTTCAACTTTTTATCTTATTTTTAAATATATAAACATTTGTCTGCACAAATCTGCTTAGAAAAGTTACTACCAACGCCGTTTCTTATTTTATAATCAAATTCACGTTTCAATTAATCACAAATAACTTTAAAAACAGACATTTACTATTGTATCTCTATATTAATATTTTATAAATATGGTATAAATACTTATTATATTCTAATAAAATATATTTTATTCTTATAAATACTCGATTTATTATTTGAACTACCAAGTCACGTCTAATTATTTGGTTCTACAAAACAACTTTAATCGTAATATTAACTAAAATGTAATATTCACAAAAATTTTAAATAGTGCTAATTATATTTTTCATAATATTAAAAAGTATATAAATTAATTCTCATTAAAAATTTTAATATCTTAGTACTTTTACAAAGTTCTATTATTTATATCTAATATATATATATATATATATATATATATATATATATATATATAAATAATTAAATTATGTCATTCATTTTCATTTATTTGAGTCTAATTTATGAAATGATTTTGATATTTTATAATAAAAAATTTATGTATTATTTATAATATATATTATTTTCAAGAAACTTGAAAAATATTAATTATAAAAATTTTATTATAAAATTATTATAATTAATTATAATTATGAATCAGAAAATTTTTTCTTTAGTAAATTATTTTCACTACCTTTTCATTTATAACATTAGCCGATAAATTGATTACAGAATATGTATTATCAACTTGACTTAACATTTATAATACTTGAGATTATTTTAGATTTCTTTCAATGCTTATACCGTATTACAGCGATTAAAAAAAAGAGTCAAAAAATCGTTAAAGCCATTAATTTAGTTACATAAAGGGAAGGCATACTTAATTATTTTTATAAATTTTATATTTTTATAGAAATTTTTTTTTTTTATAAACTATCGAACAAACAAGTTATGCTATAATATATTTTCTTATAAGTCTACAGTAAAAGATGAAAACGAAGCAATTATATTTGTATACTGAAACTATAAAAGTAATTGAATTTGACATTATATAGATATATTTATACAGTACATTTATTTTATAAAATTAATATTAAAAATTATTATGAACTTTTCCGATTTTTTTGAAAATAATTTTTATTTTTTACACTTTGAAATTAAGAGCATAATTGTCACAGTTATGGAACAATTGTTATCGAAATTTAAAGTAATACATAAATTACAAATGTTCATCTGTATTGATTTACAAGATATAATAAATAATTTATTTACAACAATTTAAACTAACGTAGTCGGTTCTTTTACAAATGTAATTATGAAACATCATCTTTAAGAAGCAAAAAGTCAGCTGTTAATCTTCGAAAACCATTCACTTCATTTAGTCAGCTGTTGTAAACAGTGATAGTAGTAGCATCATAAAAAAAAAAAAAATAAATAAAAAAAAAAAACCAAATATAAAGAAACAAAAAATCGCGTACAATAAGCGTATGGATAAAGACTTAATGAACGTCAGGTAATATTTCTTTGTTTGGTAGCTCTGCTAGAAGAATTCGTGCGTTCCATACGCTCGCTATATACAAAGATGACGGACGAGATTGAGTGGAAGAAGAAATGATCCAGAGAGTTTACTCACCTTTCGAAGTAGGGCGACGACGTCGGTCGTGCCCCAGGCCGATATGTCTTCTAGGGCATCGGTGCGGGACAACCTCGACATTGTACCCGGCGTGCATAACCTCACCGACGATGATATTGGGCGAGGCGGCAATTCGGTGCCAGACTTCCGATCCGATCGTTGCGCGTTTCTGTCCTGCTGTCAGTGGCCGCGCGAGGCTTAGGGAGAGGGAAACACCGTCGCGAGTCCACTTCTCTTTTAAATTATCTCGGCCGTCATTACCGCTGCCGAGATCACACACACTCCCCCTCCCTGCCCCTCCAGCAATCCCATCCACTCTCTCACTTATTCTCGCGCTTATCCCATGCTACGGCTGACGCACATACATAAGTTAATTTTCATTTAATTTTATCCTCCACGTCCCCTACCGCTTTCCTACAATTGGATATTTACTTCAAGATTGCCAATACGTTTTTTTTTTTTTTAATTTATTTTCACTTTAGCACTTTTCCTACTCACTCGTTCTTTGTCAAATGCCTTGCGACTAATATTTGTTACGAGCTGCGACGCTATTGATAGGATGGACATTGATATGATCGATACTGACACCTTCGTCACACGTTATAACACAAAACCTATGAATTTACTATTCAATAAACTTGTATTTTGTGTACAATTGCAGTTCTACTCTTACCTTAACCGAAACTAATAACATTATCTTATAACGACGCGAATCTAACATAATTTTGCATATTACCAATTATTCTTATTTAAAAAATTCTTTTACATATAAAAAAATTCTCTACAATTGAAACTAGTAAATACAATGCAGTCACAAATGTATAATTGTAAAATATTATAATACTATTGATAAAAAGAATACATTTGTCATACTAAAAATAGTCCTTTCTGTATTGCTTTAATTAATGTGCAATAATATCATCAGTTTAGAATCAAATAATTTGTTTGAATGTGTTGTATATTATACAAGATGAAACATTATTAATAATAGTTTGATAAGCTGTATCAATTTGAACTTAATATTTTAATATTTGAATAGAAAATCTGTATATAATTGGTACCAAATTTTATTCCAAATATCGAATGTACCAAAAAACTTAATTTCTTTCGGATTATTATTATCATTACTATTAATATTCATTTCAATTTTTGGTAATTAATGTTTTAAAATAATTGTTTTTTATATATATACCTTTTTATAAATTGTTCACGGGTACACGATATGTAACTAAAAGAGTTGAATTCAAAGGGAAATCTAATAGGCACAGATAATCAAACTTATTGTTAATTTTATTGTTTTATTTTTTTTTTCCTGTGCATATTACTGTAAATGAATATAAAGTTTTCTAACTACCTGAAACCGCTATTTAACTTCTTAATTGACACATGAACTCGCAATGTATCGACTGTAAATTATTTATGAACTGAAGATTCCTCTTGATCCATATTTTGAATTCCTTGCTATAGTCATCCTTCTCTCTCTCTCTCTCTCTCTCTCTCTCTCTCTCTCTCTCTCCCTCTTATTCTTTTGCAATGTGATAATTGGACAACTGTATTGGTGAACCTACAAATAGCGCAATGTATGCTTGTTTTCGCTTTTTAGAAATACTGACAGCATTCAAATTTTATCTATCAGTATTTTAATTACTTTACGTAAATAAATAATACAAAATGCATAAACGCATCGATTATGATATTACCATTTAGATTATTTTAATAATAAAGGATAAATTGTCTATTGTATTATTCTACAAAAGGATTAAAGCAAAGATGTTATACGTAATACCATTATGTTTACCAAAAAATTTTCATTGATTAATGAATGACTATTATTCGGATATTGCTAAATTCTATCTGTGCTCATATCTTTTCATGGTATACGTAGTTATTATAAATAATTAAAATTTTCAGCATATTAAGAGTATTCTATGAAACTCTTTCAAAGAAGAATTAACTCTAATAGGTATCTATTAACTTGTTTATTACATACTGCAATAGATGTTTAATATAAAGCAATTTATTTCAACTTCATTTGCAATGTAATTCGATGAAAACTAAATAATTATTTTTATTTATAAATTTTATGCATTTCAGTACTAAACTATAACTTGCTAAATGTACTATCCCATGTTAAGCTTGGTATTTACCAAATGATACTATTAAATAATTAAAAATTAATTTTTAAAGTAAAAAATAGCAATATAAATCTAGGCGAAATCATAAATCGAAAGATATTTTAAATAATAAACAGTGAAAGTAATTAAAATAATTATATATATATATATATATATATATATATATAAAGTATTAATAAATAGGCAAAATTAGATCAATAAGTGAGAAGCTCTAGAATAATATAAGCATAATTTAAGAATTATTAAATCATTTAGAAAAAGTAAAGTATAAAAAATGAATAATATATGAATAATTAATATGATACTTGATTTAAAGGAATGATAAATATTTTCTGTCTCCTTCAGTATTAATTATCGAAAATTTATAACTCTTATGAAAATCAATACTTTATTAATAATTATACAGATATATTTTAATAAGTAATTATTTTTTAAATCTATTACGCATGTATAGCTCTATATTATTATATTATTATATTATTATATAATTATATATAATTATATATATTATATAATTATAATATTATTATAATTATATTATTATAGCTATATTATTATACTATATTATTATATTATTATATTATTATATTATTGTTAGATTATTATTACTGTCAGATTGCGACATTTTAACATTATTTAGTTGTATAAGATTTACGCTCGTCACAAGTCAAACATTGTTTTTAGTTACAAGAAATCACATTTCAAAACCGATTTTCATTTCGAAGAAGAATTTCTAATTCGTTAATTCGTTATGAAATGCTTGCGCAAATATCAATAGTACGTAACTATGTCGATTCGATTACTTATATATTCTTATTGTTTCCTGTAATAACAATACACCCATTAAAACTAATTTCGGGCTGACTCTGCAGCGAAAACGACATTAGTGTTATTACAAATGTAAGATGGGCCGAGTCCTAGTGACCAGGTCATTTGATTTCGTGTGCCTACTCTTCTCGGCTCTGCCGATAATGCTACCGGTATAGACAATCTTTTATGAGCCAGGCGGTGCAATAAGTCGGACTCGAGATCGAGAAGAAGGATCGGCTCGCGACGGCTCGTAAGGGAGCGTCATTATTTTATTCAGTAACGTATACTCCGCCGATATACGCGGTCCCTGCCTCTACCGACCTAGCAGACGACGAGCGCGCATTTGCGGCGGCTAGCAGACGACGTCACAGACTCGCGGAACTCGAAGCTCCCACTCGTTCTTCTGCCGCGGTATTGTTCGTGTCGCGCGTCCAGACGCTACGCAACCGATCAACCCCTGGTTACCTAGTCGTCACATACGGTTCGCGGAACCGACGGCGCTCCTTGCCAGGGTAGGCGCCCTATTCGAGTTTCTGACGTACGCGCACTTCCACTGCCGCAGTTGCTACCGCTACCATCGCCAGGATGGACGCTGAGGCGTTCCTCGATATGGCCAACCAGATGGTCAAGTTAAAGATGTTCCCGTACTTCGATGTAGCGCACTGCGTGCTGTGCGCGCTCCACGTTAGGGAGGACCTGGGGCCGGGTAAGTAGCTACTAGCCACCGTGGGATTCTATTATTAAAATTGTGCCGCTCTCGCCCCGCTACTTGTCTCAACCGAGGGATGGCGCGCGAGTGCTTTTGCCTTTCCCAATTTGGATTTTTCCCCGTCCTCACACACACCTACTCTTGCGCGCACACGCACGCACGCACGCACACATCCTTCCTCTTGTCGCCGCCAGGGACTCGGGTTACAGAAAAGATTTTCTAAGAGCGGAGGCCGAGGTCTCGTTTTCGACACCGACTCTCGATAGCTACATCTCACCTACCTGGCATTCGGCTACTAAACTAAACTACAACAATATCCCTGACTGGCTGTTACCCGGCTTATTCACAACCTATTAGCAGTCAATTATTTCTGAACAACAAAAACGACGACGACGACGACGACGACGAGGCTGATGATGGCTCGGGTGGTAGTATGGTGATATGATGATAATGATAGTAATAATATATAATATATAATTTATATTCTACTATCCAAAATTTCTTCAGTTCCCATTGATTTAATAGGGCGAAGCGGCTTACAACATATGATAATCAGTTGAGTCGCCGAGAAATCATTATGTTATTATTATTTTTTGTTATTGTTTTTATGTTATTATGGCGATCCTTAACTCCCGGATTTTACTTGTGCGTTTCACATAAAAAAAAAGTTCTTTCACTTCGTTAAAACTACATATATTTTTGTTTACGCGTTAAATTTAAATTATCAATCGGCTACCGTAAATTCATAAGTGTTGAAATTGTTAATTCCGAATGATGATTAAAAATCGATTTATTTAGGGTAATCGTCCCTATTACCTTACTTTGTTCACTCGTTACACGTAATGAATGTAGTGATTCGATTCTAAACGGACAAATATAATAAACAAAAATGGCAAAAAATTTTAATCTTGTATTATAGTTATTATTGAATAGTTTAATTTAATTGAATTTGACTTTTATTCCAACTTATTGCGATGGACTACCTACTTTGGAAATCTCATGATATAAAAAAACAATTATTATTTAAAAGTATATGTATAATATTTGTTAAAATATAATTGATTTTTTTTTAATCACTTAATTGCAATGATCAGTATTTCAATAATTGTTGAAATATAAAATCTAATAAATTAAATAGAAATTGTTATTGGCCGATTTTTATATAGAATTTTAATATTTACTTAAAAAAAAAAATTATTATTGATTTTAAAACAAATATTCAAACACTACTAATCGAATGCCTATTGAGAAAATATTACATATGGCTTAAAAAAATGCCATTTTAAAAAATTTAAATTGAAAATTTGGTATTTGGAAATTTAAAAACTGAATTTTAACGAATAATTTTACTCCTCGAAATTAGACTCGTTTGTCCTTGAAGAAAACGAAAAATTAATTTTTAAGAAAACCAAAAAATACAATGAATTTAATAATATATTATTCTCAAAGATTAAATACATTTTGCTGTTTATAATCGTTTAGGAAAGTTTAAAGCATAGTAACCATTTGGTTCTTTAGTAAATTTAAAGTTATAACTTTTTATATTTATTCTAATTTCTTTGTATTTAATTTACATACATTTAATGACAAGTTTTAATTACCCCAGATGATAAAAATATATATAAATCTAAGTCGAACAGATTTATCATTATTAATATTGTCGAAGAAAATGAACTTTTAAATAACAAATGTGTATTGTAATTTAAACTTAAAAAAATTATATTAAAGCTCTTAATATACGCAATCCCATTTACTATATGTTTCAATTCATTCAATTATTCTTTATAATAAAATGTTTGCATTAGTTAACTTATAAATCATAATTTTTGGTAATTGAATAAAATTTAAAATCAAGCATTCTTATTCACACAGTGATATAAAGAGTATTTAAGATAAATTTGATAATTAACCTTTAATGCAATGCCTGTAGATGATGCTGACTAAACGTACAGTGACATTAATAGATATTTATTGAAAATTCTCATCATATAATTAAAATCTTTTAATCAATAGGATAAAATGTAATAACAAATATGAATTTTCAATTTATACAAATACCTGGCACAATCAATACATATTTCTTAGCATTAGCTTTGCCCAAGTTTCTACTAGTCAATCTATTTTTGTATGTGCCTTTAGCCACCAACTGATGAAAATGAACATATTCAGATCTTCCTGCATTACAAAAATATGCATTTTTCCTTATTAGGGATCGACTAAAATACAAATATTTAAAAGTAAATAATATAGTTAACAAACATTAGCTTCGATTATAAGTACATCGTTAGGCAATGAACAGAAATACTTACTAAACCAATAAAAGAAAATCAAGGATTTCATCAATACTTCCGCGTTATGTTAGCCAGGTTCATACATTTGGCGTAATTCTTTAATTATTTGTAATATAAAAGAACATTTTTTATTACTATTTATTTTAATATGATTTGTTACGTATTTAAAACACGAAAAACCAATATAATTTTAACAATAATATAAAAGATGTAAGAATAAATGACCGTTTCATTTTTCAAATTAATTTAGAACATATTATATTTCTCTTTTTGGCAAACTAATTATACAATAATTGTATTCACAATTAAATATATTTTTAAAAATGAAACAAATTATCCGCTTTATACTTTTTTTTATTTAAAATTTAATAAACATTCATGCATGAATTTATTAAATATTTACACGATTGAACGCTACATGAGGCTGCATATACCTTTGAATATGGAAGTGTATAGCACTTAAATGGGTTCCAGCTAACCTTTATGAAATATTTCACTTTTATAGATGTAATAAAATATATAATAAAATTTTGTTTCAACTTTTGTGCAACTGCATAGTAAAATACATTATAATTTATTATGAATAAAAAAACTTGACTAAAAAAATGTAACCTTCTACAAGGTTAATCGTATATAATGAAATATTTAATTTGATAGTCGCTAAAAATTGAAGTCAGTAAAGAATAATATTTAAATATATTCGATTTATTTTGTTATATATATACAGATAATTTTTCCATAAAATGTTGCATCCGAGATTCATCTACCTATGCAATTAAATATATAAACAAGCCATTGTAAAAAAAAATCTCTAATAGTTTATTTCATAGTTGAAAAAAGTATCAATATTCGAAACTATGAAATGCAATACAATTTAGTAAATTCTCGATGAATTTGTACAACTAATATGAACAATTGCAGGGGCGCAGGCATTTTCAAGAAAACACCCTTTGTCATGTTGGCTATCGACGATGCTGGTGGTTTTTGCTGGTGGCATGTTATGCAATGGCTTACTAGGGGAACCCGTTTTAGCACCTTTAAAAAATACATCACAAGTGGTCGTTGCTACCGTCGTTTGGTTGGTTTATTCCCTTGCACGAAATTAATATAAATTCCACTTAATCAGAATAATAATGAGATTTTAATCTAATTATCTTTTTGCAGGTATTTCATTTTTTATACGCCATTTGATATTGGATATAAAGTTGCCAAATTCTTGCCCATAAAAATTATATGCGCTGCAATGAAAGAAATATACAGGTACCCTTAAATATATAAACAATTTATTTAAACATAAATATGTAATGGCTCTTCGTCATGCTTTATTATTTTCTAGTTATTAAAGTAGAAATTTTCCAAATTGTAGGTGTAAAAAAGTTTATGATGGAGTTACTCACGCAGGCAAATTATATCCAAATGCCTATCTCATTATGATACTCATTGGAACACTCAAAGGTACTAATAATAATGTTGACATTTTCAATCTAGATAGTCGAAACAAATTAAAAAATATTATAACATGATTATAATAAATATTCGATTTTTCCACTTTATTTCATTAAAAGTAAGTAATAGAATATATTTAACGTTTTGACGGCATTAGCCTTGTTAATCTGGATAAATTATTAAATTCCTATAAGATCATTCATATTAATGAATTTAGTATTATATTCTCTCGTTTTTAATTAAAATATTGTTAAGCATATATTAACTTTTTTTTAGGGAATGGAGCTGGTTTTACGAAATTATTTGAGCGCCTAATCCGCGGTGCTTGGACACCAACAGCTATGGAATTTATGCAGCCAAGTTTGTAAGTACGATTAAAAGAACAATAATCTTATATAAACATTATACTGAATAATGTGATAAAATATTCTTTACTCTTCAGTCCCACAAAAGCATCAATGGTTGCCTCAATTATTTTCGTCTTAGATAAAAAAACTGACCTTATATCAGCACCGCATGCCTTGGTGTACTTCGGAATCGTAATATTCTTCGTATACTTTAAGGTTTGTATTCAACTTCTTCATTATTATTATACGTACTTAAAAGATTGAAAATACTTTTTATACATTACGAGTCTTATACTAATTCTATCATCTTTCTTTTCTATACTTTACTTTACAAATAAAATTCTTAATATGTATATACAAACATTTAAAAAAGCGTTTATTTAAACACTAAAAAAATTCCAAATAAAAATAATATATTGCTTACATTAAATACTGTTTAAAATTAAGTTCAAAACCGAGAAATTTTATAATACCAAAAGCAACAATTAATTAATTATACAATTGTTTTATTTCAGTTGTCTTCCATACTGTTGGGTATCCATGATCCTTTTGTACCATTTGAAAACTTATTCTGTGCATTATTCCTTGGAGGAATTTGGGACTCACTTGCTAAAATATTAGGCTGTGGACAAACCAAAGATGAAAAAACAGATCCAAAAAAGACAAATTAGATAATGAAATGTTAAGTAATGATGTTTTTGAACGATTTTGTATGCGTTCTAAATATCTTCTATTTCATTGAAAGCTTTATTTTCTTTTGAGCATTGTATTCTGAAAAATAGCTAAGTTTGCACATAATTTATATGTGATTTAACACATACAAATTAGTACAACTGCATGTAATTGATTTATGATTATACTCATTTACGTATAATTTATACATATACTTCATTTTAAGAAGGAACGAAAAAATAATGTAAATTCGTTCGAAACTTAACTGCGAAGTAAGGCAGTTTTGTAACAAACTAGTCAATGATTAGATTCCTGGAAGAGAATAATTGACCAATTATTGACAAGAAATACAATTATTTTTTTTATGAATACTGATTAAAAAAATAATATATATATATATATATATATATTATTCATTGTATATGAAATTATAAATCATTATATATAATCTATTTTTCAAATTAAATAATATATAATGCCTTAATTTTTACTTGTAGTAAGAATATTATAAAAAGTATAAAATGTTTTCGATATAAAATCTTTATAAATAATTATACATCACAACAATCAATTATTGGTCAGTTTTTATAACATTTTTAATATTTAATATATAATCAAATTTTATTGAATTACATATTTTATTTTAAAAAATAAATTGAAACATTTTAAAATCGCATAAACATATGTATGTCTCTACAGTTAATGGAAGCATAATAAAATTTTTTTTAGAGTAAAAACAAGCATAACTGTAACCTAGTTAATGTTATGTAGTCAAGATTATTTTTTTATATTCAGTATTAAATATAATTTAAGTAATCTTAGAAATTAATGAGTTTTCTCAATTAAAGTTCAAATAAAATACCATTTTATTAATTAGTATATCTATTTATATGTACAAAATTTGTTTCACTAAGTTCAAAAAAAATTAAAAATAGTAAATTATTCAGCAATGACTTACATTATACACACTTTTATATATATTATATAAGAGAATTTTAGAAATATTTAATTAAAGGATTTCAAATTAAAAATTTTTGTTTGTCAAGTAAGTACTTAATGTATATAAAGTATATTTAATTAAAAAATGTTCTGTCTTTAATAAATAGATAAATGAATTTATATATATATATATATATACTACTGGTGATAAAATGTAAATATAAAATTTAAAAATTATAAGCACCTATACAAAAATATATTTTTAACATAATAAATTCTATTTTAATATAAACGCATATATAGAATGTTTCATTGCACTTTATCAAAGCTTAATTACATACATACAACATAATTATAATGAATTATTGAATGAAATATATTATTAAAGTTTACTTACTCTTTTTTTTATTATACAATTACATAACAAAGTACTATATATTATATTAAAGTTACATACAAATGAGATAATTTATGTTAAAATATATTGGAAATAAATTATAATTTTAATTTATTGTATTTTGTATAAATATTTTATGTATAATTATTAAAAAATAACTTTTCTTTGCATATTATGTCAATTTAATTTTCTAAAAATATTTTATTTTATAACATTTTATTACATTATGAATATATAGATATTGTTAATTTTTAATTACTAAATAATTTTAGATTTATCATAAATATAATTTGTAAATAATATCATAATTTACATTAAATGATATTTTTTTTGTATTTTTTGAAATTATATTCATTATAATTAAAAATATACAAATCTATATATGTTACTCTTACTTTTATATTGTTCTTCATTATTAATATACTGGACTATATGTTAATATCGACTTAGAGATTAATTGTTTATACCATATTTATAATTACAAGACAATACATTAAAATATAGTATTTTAAATTTTTAAATATGTTTAAATTTTAATTGTATTTAATGAGAACTCATACCAGTATTTTCATAATATTTAAATATTCATTACTTTTGGTTAATCGGTTATATACACAATTACACAAATTTTTAGAACTATATTTGTAATTCCTGTTTATATACAATGTTGGATTGTTTACATGTAATTTTTATTCAATCAATTACATTAAAAATCTCAGTTATGCTTAAATTAAAAATAATTAAAATTTTTTATAAGCCCATTATTAAAATAAAAGAAAACAAAATTCCATATTCATCGTAATCGGTTGAATCGTATATATTTTTGACAAGTAATTTTACATTAAATTATTAATATATTATCAAATATTTATGAATATTAAATACAATTACATTTTAAAACAAGCTTTGGTCTGAATCATCAGTAAGTTAATACGCTATTATTATTAATTTAATATTATTTTTGTTATAATCATTTTAATAGGATGCGGCATATTTTAGAAGAAAAATTAATTTTTTTAAATTACAGGTTACAAACTAAACAAATATTAATATTAATATTAAAACTGTCTAATTTGATTTTTTATGATTGTATAAAATGAACTATTTTCACAATTCTTAATTTGTAATTCTAGAAATCTGAATATGAGAAAAATATTCTTCAATTGCATTGATACGTATAATTTGATATCTTAGCGAAAAGAAAATAATACATATTTTCAACAATTTATTATTAATTATAAAAATTAATTATAAAAATGAATTATTAAAGGTATTATTAAATATCAAAAATCATGAAGTTGGATAGATAAGTATATGGTTATTTTATATATTGATATTTACAAAATTGTGATAGTCTGTTTTTCATTCTGACACCAAACTATAATCACCTTTAGTGATTACTAAAGGAATGTTAGTTACAAGCCGTATGCATTTCATCAGGATTAATCTAATTACGATTTTTAATTTCTAATTCAGCTTTTTACCTCTCGTATTTTCTATAATTTCTATGTTACAATGATTGATTTCAATAAGAACATCAATAAGTACTTGATGCAGTTTTACAAATAAAAAATATAAGTTGTGGAAGTACGACATAAATGTATTACTAAAAAAACTGACGCAGTATATTGAAATAAAATTTAAAATATAATTTTTAGTTTATCACATACTTTTATCAACTAAATTATTAAATATAGCATTCAATCGATGTCATAGATTGTACTATTTAGCTAATTCAATTTTTTAACTAACTTTTTTGATAAAATATTCAAGTAAAGCATTATATAAAAAAATTATTTGAATTTGAATATTATTTATTTTCAGTAATATATTTATTATTTAATTAGATGATGTAAATAAAAAACTAATCGAGCATTCATTATATAATAGGCATAGTGAATGAAAGCATCAAATTATGCCAGCATGTCCTTCTTTATATTATGCAGAGTATTTTTTTGAAAATTTTTTACGTATAAAAATAATTTCAAATTTTGTACAAATTTATTTAAATTATACAAAAAAATTAGTAAATAATTTCAGGATAAATCTAGTTAATTATAGAAACGCTTGCATACCATTTAATAAACAATTTACGTAAATTGTATGCTAAATATTTTTCATTATCGCATAACAGTATTGTAATCATAAGGGAAAGTTCACATTCCAAGCTGCAGGGGATAGATTTCAGTTTGACTATTAGTAGAGTATGCGGCAAAGTGTTTCCGGGGCTCAATTTTATCTATATAACCGTCCTTATTATTGCGTATAAACTTGTTAACGAGGCTGATAGGTTTACCGTAAAATCGCAATGAATCTTTAAAAAAGTCTTTCTCGTCGTTCAGAGACATGTTATCGCCATTAATGTCTTTATCAATGAGTGAACATATTGAAAAGTCTAGAAATTAAACTATTATCATTATTTTGCATTACAATCCAATTCGAAAAATCAGCTCAAACATTGAACTGTAAATACATTTACTAATCTCAGTATATTATATTATTTAATGATTTTAATTATTTAAAAATATAGCATTGTTAAAACGAAATTTCGTGTTTTTTTTTATTATAAAAATAATTATCTTAAAAATATATTCAATCATAATAACCATTTGTATGAGATATATAAAAATAAAAAATAACTCAACTGTATAATGTATAAATAATCATAAAGTTAAAGTAATAATTGTATACCACATATTCAGTTAGAAAGTTTTTAAATAAGCAATAAATAACTGTAAAGTTAAAGTAATAATTTTATACTATACCTTCAGTTTGAAAATCTTTAGCTGAATCTGACGAAGCTATAGTAGATTCTTTATTGAAACTGCACGTGCAATTGGAGTCTTTATTGAATTCTATTTGACTTTGCGGTGCAGATAAGGCATCATCTGAATCTTCATTTGTTTCATTACTTTTGTAGTTACGATCATCTTTAACTTCTACACAAATAACCTGATAAATTTCTTTAAAATCTTGCTTGAAATCCACCTCGCCTGTTTTTCTATTATCATTGGTCATTATGTGACACATAATTTGATTGCAAGCCTCTTTGAAATTTAAGCACTTCTTATTTTTGTCTTCCTTTAAAATTTTAACAATTATAGTAGGATCTTCAATCACATTTTCAATCACATCTTTAGCTACATTGTTCAACTCACACGAGCCGCTAATATTCACATTATTACAGCATTCTTCGCAATTTTTAAAATTATCCTTTGACATATCTACATTTTCACCTTCAAATAAATGATAGCTGGAAAGAGATTCTAAATTCTGTTTTTTGCTACAATAATTGCAATTGAGTAAGCTTAAACCGATTGATTTTGAATTTTGTCCTGGTGGGAAATTATATATAATAGATTAATTTAACATCATATTGTAAATTAAAATAAATAAATATGTATATATATATATATATATATATATATATATATATATATATATTGACTTAATTGGTTACGAATTGATCTACATATTAAAGTAATTTAAACTTCATGGAATTTTGCTTACACACATTGTAATAGTTCATTAAAAAGAATTGTATTTATTTAAATATATACAATAATAAAACTAAATACAATATTCAGATTTGTATATTTCAAAGGTAAAGGTTTCGATAATTAATAAATTCCATTTTGAAGTACTTTTTTCAGGATTATATTTAAAAAAGAAAATCAATATTTTTATTTAGTTATTATAATTAAAACAGAATTAAGTTTATTACTTTTATAATATTGAATATCTTGTAAACTTTCATTTATTTCAAATAATATATGTCCATATTTTTTAACAAAAATATACCGAAGCAATTATACTTAATTTAATAATATAGTTTTATAATCAAGTTTTTATTATTAAATAAAAATATTTACACTAAATATTTTAATTGCAATTTTTTTTATACTAATGATTTACACGTTTTTTATTTTTCAATTGTCAATTTTAATACGACACAAAATTAATAATGTGAACAATATTGTTTTTTGATTTATTTTATATGTTAATGAAAAATAATATTAAATGTAATATTAAAAATTCAAATATACATGTGTATATACTTAATTAAAGCAAATTAAAAAATTTCTATTAATAATAATCTTTATTCTCTTGTTGTTTACCATTAATATGGTCGATTTGTTTTAATAGCAATAATACGAATATTTTATGTAATTTAATTTGCCTACAAATAATTTTTTAACTAGTATTAATACGAATTAGCACAATTTGCATTACTATAATTAACAATGTAATATCAATAAATTTAATTTTTATTAGAATATATTAATTTTTAACAAGCAATAAATAACTCAAAGCTTACTCAAACTGTTCTTGATTATCCCATGCAGAACATTAAACCAAACTGGCTGTTTATTATTCGCATTCTTGAAAATTTCTTTCTCTCGAATATACCGCTTCTTTAACTCTTCGATAAGCTGCATACAGCTTTGTTCATCAACATTCTTTAAATTTAAAGTTTCAGCAATATTTTTATAAGTTAATAACCTTATTTTCTCATTCTTATACTGAGGGTCATAAATATTCCAAAGAACTGAAAAAGATTTGTAAATGAGAAGGAAGCGCAAGATATTTATATCTGTCCATGAAATAGCTTTTGGAATGGATTTTAACCACCATTTAGAATTTTGATTGAATTTTGATTTAAACTGAATGCTCATATTGAAAATTTTATTGATTATTTTTACGAAGAAAGATTTTAATACGAAATTATGACGCAACAGATATTCTTTTGTTTTTATTACTAAATTTAAGTCGAGAATTACAAAGAGTAGAAATAATTGGACTTAGAACTTGACACAAAACGATTGTATTGTGAAATAATTGAGCATAAAATTTGTATTTTACTTTATTTTTTCCCCTAAATTTTAATTTTATAAATTTTATTATAATTTTATCTTTAATTGAATTAAATAATAAACGATTTTTAATTATTCATTCAAAATAGTGTAGTGCAATAAAGCTATTGCTTATTAAACCCTTTTTAATATTTAATATTCAAAGATATCAATATTTTAACACTATAGCTTTTAAAAAAATGTATTTCAATACGTTTATTTAATTTACTTATATTTATTTAATATTGCCAAAATTACTTATAATGTAATTTATAAATTTCTAAAAAAAAAAAAAAAAAAAAAAAAAAAAAAATATTTACAGAATGAAAAATACGAAATTATTCTTTTGCTCAACAAGGGCAATACAATGTTCTTACTCAAAGAATAACTTATTGTCCTACGCATTATTTTATAATCAAAAGTTTTGCTTATGATACGTCAGATGTGTATCAAACTAAATTCACGTTCTTACGGCATCTGAGCAAACAAACTCTTGTCGTGAGGTAGGATTTTAGCTACTAGATACAGTTATCCTCTAAGTATTTCGACGATTTTTTGATAATAAAATATCGACAAAACTGGTTAACTCTAATGTATATTAACAGCCGGCAACTTACAGGATTGTCAAGAGTCCAAGTTCAATTGACTCCAGTTCAATCTCAGGTAATTAATTTCCCAAGTCTCATCGGATTCACACATTCAGAAATGGAATTACATGTCGATGTTGTACTTAATTCGTCTGGAGGAAACTCAAGGAATTAACCTGTTTTGTGTGTGCGTGTGTGTGCGTGGGTGCGTGCGTGCGTGCGTGCGTGCGTGCGTGCGTGCGTGCGTGCGTGTGTGTGTGTGTGTGAGAGAGAGAGATAGAGATAGCTTATTAGACTGTTATAAATTGTTTTTTTTACTCAGGAAATGGATCATAAAAGGATTCAATGTTGATTGATTTAGAATATTCGATAATTTATTTAAAAATAATATTGTTTGTTATAAAAATGAAGTAAAAGTAATAATCTACATTTTTACAGATTTGTACTCATGTTGATTATTTACTAACCTCGACCTTTTTTCGCATTTTGTTGTGCTTTATTAAAACAGCGCGAACATTTCTCCCGCGTGATTTCGTTTCGTGCTTCCAAAGTGAAAGAAGGTCCATCCGTAGCGAGTTTATTACAGGTTGCTCTCGTTTTCATATTATCTTCGAAGCAAGTACAATTTTCAAAATCAGTTGTTTTATTTGGCTTACATTTCAGACATCTTATGTACATCCAATTTACATCTTTAGATATGGATGGTGAAGTGCCCGGTCTGTATTTTAATAACTTTGAACAGGGGATTACGGTACGGCAATTATCTCTAGTAGCACAGGACCCCTGACACTTAACTTTGTTGTAATCAGTAAAATTACAGCTAAATACGGATGTTTAATATTATGCAAATGTACATAGTAATAACAATCGTAAAGAAAATTCAAATCATAAATGTGATGTTGAAATAAATTTCAAATTAAAATTTTCAAATATGCAATATTAACGTACCCAATGAAACAATACATAAATCGAAAAATGGAAAATTGAATTTAATTTTATATATAAAACTTTTGTTGTGTATGCCATAAAAGTTTCTGTTTAAAAATTTGTAAATTATCTTTATTGTTGTATTTGATATTATGAACTTCAACGACAGATTTTTTGAAACTATATATTATTATATTATATTTATATATTATATATAATCTTGTATTATATTTATCATGCATTTGATATTATATTTATAATACAATTTTAAATTTGTAAACTGAATTTTATGTTCAAAATCTTGGAAAAAAATGTATCTAAATAATATCGTACCTTCTAAAGAAATCTTGACAAGAAATAGATTTATCCTCATTTAATCTGCTGGTCTGCGTTTCGGCATTTATTACTGATGTGTCGTAGATCTCAATTATTTCGCACTGAGTTGACTGATTATTATCACCGCATTTCATGTTGCAGCAATTTTTCATGCTCGAGTGGTTGGCTTTGCCATCACAATCTGTAGAGACAAAGTTAATCTTAAAACAAATACTATTGGAGGAACTCATATGAAAATGAACAACGTAATGATAGATTCAAAATCACAAGTATTTTCAACCATTTCTATTAATTTTTATACTTAATTAGGATGCAAATTTAACTAGTTTTTGCAAAGTTATTATTTATCATATTATTATATTTGTAATTCATTATGTAACATATTTAGTAGTGTTAAAAAATCAATTTTTCAAATTAATGTTTTTATAATTATTAAGCATAATTGTAATTTGTCGTTAAATCTAATTCTATTTATTGTATTAGATGTTCCACGAAATTCGTATATATATATATCTGTATTATAATCTATGAATTGTTAAATTAGAGAAATACAACATTGTCGATGAATTATAATAAAAGACACACTTTCATAAACATTTTTTCATATAGTATTGAAAGACCAATTTATGTTAGCAATGCACCAGTACTAAACACTTTTATTTATTTCAGAATATCGAATACAGTGCGTAGTTTGTATAATTTTTATCAAAACACTACGTGGTACCGATGTATTTAAATTTCAAATTTCAATTAACTAACCATGTTTCATTCTTTCATTTTCGAACTCATCCTTCTTGTTGTCAAGTTCCAAGGCACATTTTAAGATTTCCAAAAAATTTTGCGTGAGCTTACTACGCTGATTTGTATCGGAATTGCAATGAAAATACGACAGCTTTTCATTAAAGCATTGCGTACAGCTGTTACATGATTTTTCTGGGATTTCAGAACGTTGATAGCACTTACATTCCAATGTTTTATACAAATCCTTTTTTGAATTCATACAGTGGTCTGTTTAAACACATCTTTTATTATTAATTATATTAGATATAAATAAAAAAAAAACATATTTAAACATTTTTTTAATATAAAATATTGAATAATTTCATATTTTTAACAGTTGGCCTTGAAAGTGAAGTTTTTACTGAGTTTTAACATTTTTCGTATTTTTACGGCATAGTAATAATGTCTTTTAAGATGTCATACAGCAGGATGAGATTTATCGATATTGACATCCGCAGTGTAGTCCTGATTATTTAAAATTAAAAGTTATATTTAAATATATATTTTTTAATTATTATTATTTCTATTATTATAATTTAATTAGTTCTTTTTATTTCATTAATTTTGATGGAGCTCTCGTCTGACGCGAAATCATTAAGCTTTCGAACTTACTTGCCGAGACCCCACAATCCTCTGTTGAATGCTGGGTCTCCACCAGTTCCGTAGCCTCGTTCAGGCAGTTGGACGTTCGTTCGTTGCCGTTCGGGAACACGATCTTGAATTCCGAGTAGGCCTCGAGCACACCGTCCTCAAAACGCGCGGCTACCCGAGGAGGCCTTCGGACACCGCGCGTCGACTCGAATCTTACGATTTTCGGATTATCCGCGGTACCAATTGACTTGTCATTAGTTGAATCCTGAAATCCTCGTTTGTCCATACATGACGAGGTTCTACCTGCAAGGTGAGGACGCGGAGTCTCTTTTACAGAGCACTAAAGTAGACTTTCATGAAAGTTTGATTCCACTTAGCTGCTTATCTATTTAATATATTTGGCTTTTATATTATATTTAGTTTTGATGTATTTATTAACAGGTGGATAAAGAACGGTAGAAATAATATTGCACTTAATGTGTATTCTTTGTGAAAATAGAATCAATTATCTGTTATTAATTGCCTTTTAAATTACGCATTAAATTATATTTCCTAAATAAAACATAAAATTATGAATTCAATATCTTATAAAAAAACTTTATTGAACTTTCAAATGACCGTTAAAATTATAATGAATTAATAATTTAGAAATAAATTACCATATGATTCTCTGGATTATTGCACGCTTTTAATTAAATAAGAAAACAAAATTTACTTGAAGTTTATGAATTATTTGATTTAAAACTTTGATTCTATTTTTTGTGATAAATAATTTAAAATATTTTAGAAAAATCTGATTATACACTGTATAAATCATATAATGCACATACACGCCTACACGCTCATTATTAACATCTCCACTGATACTTTCTTATTCTCAAAATGGCTAATTTTTAATTAATTACAAAATAATGAAAGAATTATTAAAAATATTAATGGATTATGAATATGAAAATGTCTTGTAATATTTAGCTTACAATAATAAATTTATAATTTAATTATTATTTTTTTTAATTCTAGTTGATTCTTTTTTCTTCACAATATTAAAAATACAAGATTATTTTACAATATAAAAATTAGATATACAAGATGGCTGTATACGATAAATAACGCAACGTAGCTGCTTATGTAGAGTATTTCCATATGAAAGAATACTTTCGGCCTGGTAATATATATTTGAACAAAATGAGTTCTACCTTACCCGGATAAATTTCCTTTGTGCAAATATCAGATTTTTTTAATACGCATGAACCTTTACTGGGATTTTGTGGATTATTTCTGTAAGAGCATAATGACGTCACGTTCTGAGTAGAGCATTTGTCATTTGCAGTAACAATAGTTGTCTCGCACATATTGGTGGTTTGCGTATTTTTCGAACATAAATAGCATGGTTTTACTCTCTCCTTAGAATAATTGTCATTAATGGTAGTATTAGAAGTTTTGCATATTCTAGAGCTCTGTGAATTTTCGTTACAATAACAAGATGGCAATTCCTTTTGCTTTGAACATTTTTCACTCGCATTATTGTTAAGCATCTCACATTTCTTCGAGCTTTTGAAATTTTTGGTATATGAGCAGCGTGGTACCTTTTCTTTACAAAATTCATCACTGGTAGCGATAGCAGATGTTTCAAACATTTTACAACCCTGGGAGTTTTTGGTGCATGGGCAAAATAACGATTTTTCGTTGGAACTTTTATTACCGATAATGGTAGATATATCACATACTTTAGAACTTTGTGATTGCTCGTTACATGGTACCGTAATTTTTTCGTCAGGACATTTCACAGTAGTTTTGGTTCCACCCGCTCTGGAAACTTGTACATTCTTGTTACATGGACATGATGGCAAAATCTTTTCCTTGGAGCACTTATCATTGGTACCTATTGTCGATGCTATGCACAACTTGACACTCTGTGTATTCTTGGAACATGGACAGCACGGCATTGCTTTTTCCTTTGGATTTTTGTTGACGACGCTGGATGTGATGAATTCCAACGAAGTTGTAGCATCTTTCCTATTCTGGTCACTCTTTGATTGGGGACCTTCTCCATATTGTTATACAATATGGCAATTTAATATCATAATACATAAAGTTCATGTTTTGTTAATTAAAAATCTATAGTAATCTTTATTAATTTAAGGAGTATGTAATAAAAAAAAAAGTAATGATATACTAAGAAGCTATCACAAGTTTCACAATTATATTAAATTAATTTAAATTTTATAAAATGACTAAAAAATTGTATCAACATAGATATAAATGAATGGATATTAATTTATATGTAAAAATAAAATGTATATAATAGAAATTAAAAAAATTCATTTTTCAATATTTTTGATATTTGATAATAGGAATTTTCAATAAAAAGTAATGAGGTATGTGTGAATCGAATTAAATCAATACGCTTTGACTAACTGGAAGGACTGCAAGGATTCTTGCAAATATTCTCCACTCGACTCAATCGCTTAAGATGCGACACATATCCTGGACCCTGAGTTACTGATTGATCACAGATGTTTTGTGTAGACATGTCATAGATAATTTTTTCGCTTTATCCAAACAGTTTGAATTTTGGTACAATCTAAATATTTATATTACAATAGATTATATTATAATTGATTATAGAATCTTTTTATACAATTATTTAATTGCACATAAAAATTACACTTTTTTAATTTATTAGTGGATAAGTTTATTTAAATCATTGATTAAAAATGCAAATATCTGCAGACCTGAGTTAATGAAAATATTTCTTTTTTCTTTCTCTACATGTCCACAACATCTGATTCTATTCTCGAGATTGCCTCTATAATTTGTATCGACTTCCTTTGTTTTCACTCAAATAAAAACGTTTTTCCTAATTTAACAATATTTATTTTTATTTATAATTTATTTATAAATTAATTAAAAATAATATAAAAAGATAAGGAAATTTTGTTCCGGTATTAAACGAGGTTAAGAAGTTACTCGTTATATAAGTTTATACTTTGCATACTTTGCTCTCTTTTATAACTCGAACTGGTACGAAGATTTTTCGTATTAGTTTGACAATAATTTAGGAACGGCCTCATACATAAATGGTTTCATCTTAAAAATCTCATAATCAAACTTTTTTTTATGCGATTTGTCAGATTTATTATGGAATGGCGAGAATTTAATTTAAAAAATAATTAATATCTCATCATTGCTATTTGATGTGCTTGTAAGTTATCATTAGACATACAACTAATTTTACAATTTGATTTTTTATTGAATGCCTAATCATCAATTACGAATGTAAAATTATTATTAAAACTTAGAGAACGATAACTATCAATAATCATAAAAAAATTAAGATAGGTTTCATTTAAATATTTATCAAATTCCTGGTGCAGCGTTCGGTCTTCTTCAGTAAAAATGTAAATATTTATAATAAATAATCAAGCATCAATATTTCATAAGCCAGATATTTTATATTTCTCATATGCAGAGTTCTTTAAACATAATGTATTAAAAAAAGAAATGTTATCAACGTTATTTATAAAACATCAAGTGAAATATAAAAAAATTAATAGCTACATTTTAAAGTATATGAACTTTAAACGTGAAGTAAGGGTCACTAATGTTTTATTTGACTTTTAATGAAAATATTTGTTTCGTTTCGCTTGCTCGAACAAATTGTATTACGATATGTGACGGTTAATACGGGTTATAATTCTTTTGCCAAGAAATTGTCAATTCTTGTTTCTCATTGAAAACTATGTTTTCGGTATTATTTTGAAGATAAATTATTAGTTCGAAAAATATTTCATGTAATGATCACTCCAACAACTTGTGACATTAACTTTGTTTTATTACTTTCTTACGTATTATATTATATAGATATAAAACAATAAAAATTAATAAGTACGAATTCTAAATTATATATATTTAAACAATTGATAATAAATATTTGAAAATAAAGGTATGGTTTAAAAAAAATGTATTTGTAATCTGGGTTTAAGATTTAACTAGATTTTCATTCATAATAATTATATCATATATAAATCAAGTATACATTTTTCAAATGCATTAGAGTATTATTTATAAGAGTTTATAAATCTAAAGAAAGTTAATTGAACAACGATTAGTATGTATAATAATTATAAACGAGATTATCTGTTACAGTATAATTTTTAAGTTAAAGTAAAATTTAATGTACATTTACGTTTTAAAAATTGTTTTAAAAGCATAAATTTGTATAATTATTATTATAAAGTTGAAATCTTAAAATTTTCTTTCATCATAAGCACCAATTTAATCAATACAATTCTATTACATCATGTAGCTTAAAAAATACAATATCAAAAAGTTATTTTGGAATATTGTCTTGTCAATCATGGAAAGGCTATAAAAATTTTTGTTTTAATAATACTGAGAAGCGTATGTTTGTCTAAATTATACAATCATTTATTTATCAACTTTTTGTTAAATAATTTAATTTATAGCTTTTTTCTTAAGCAACAAATAAAGTTACTAGTATTTCCACAGCATAACCTGATCATCATGACAGTATTTAATTCTTTAACAAAATTGATTACTTTATTTTTATATTTGAATTGTAAAATTATGTGCGTATTTTATTTGTAATTACAAACTTAAATGACATTTGACTTTTGACGACTACATACTAATTTTGTTTCTAGAAATTCTATTTAAATATTTGTTGGATAGGCACTTAATCTGTTTGATGATTATTGATAATATTCACTTGTAAACTTATATAGAATAACAATATATATGAAATTGTAGATACAAGCTTCTTTGACAAGATTTTTGTATAATCTTTGCCACGTATTTGTTCTCATTTGTCTTTTTTATCTTTGATACGCATAATATTATAAACTATCACTCACTATTTCATTAGATGTTCTAATTCAGTTTTATGCAAATAATATTTATAATATTTAAACATTAAACACTATTTCATTCATCAAATTATTTTAAACAAAGAATTTTAAATTAAATAAAATTTTTGCTTTTACATATCCTTAGTTATAAGAAAAATCGTGTTTAATTTAATTCTTTAATGCCCAAAGCAGTCTATGTATTAAAAATCATAATTTTTAATAATAGATAAGAATTGTACAAAAATTTAAAAATATTAATTGCATTAATGCAATATAATTGAATATAGATATTTATAATTTTTTAATTAAAAATAGTTAGACATACATATAGATTGTTGCAGCTTCATTATTATATAAGAAAAATATTTATTTTTATTTTTTTTATTCCATGCACAAATAATTATAACCACAACAAATATAACTACATGCATACACATTATAAATATCTAAATCTTTTTATTGTTAAGATTTCTTCTATTTTTATAACTAAAAATAAGATTTAATTATTGAATTTATATCTTTGGTTAATTATAAACATAATATGTATAATGTATGTCATATATTTTTAGTTCATAATAAATATACTCATTTATTATTTTAATAAAAAAAATATCAAAAATAATCAGCAACAACGTACAATACAAGTTTGATACTAATTAGTGGTATAAAGTACATTATTTATATTCTTTCTTACTTGAAATTGTAAATTTTTATAAATTTTTCTATAAGTATATGTAAGTTTGTAAGTTCAAACACAATTAAAAAAAAAACGTGTATGAGTTAATTAATGCACAAACAACTATGAATACAAAAGTTATTATTTGCTTTAAATAAAAAAAAATAGTTGAGGATATATTTGAAACTTAACTTTTCTTTGATTTTCTTGAGGAACCATAAACAATTTTTTACATTAACATTATGCTTTGAAATATTATGTATCTATGTCAGTGTCAAAGTTCTACTGCAACAATCTTTAAAATATAGATATGGATTTCAAAGAGGCAATTGTGTTTTTCATACTCCACAAGGAAGATTTGAACAATTACTTTCCATTTAAAGTGAATTTTTCGTAAATATAAGATAAAACAACATTTTTAGTCCTTATTTAAACATTTTTATTAATTTCCAAACTTTTATATAAAGTTTTTTAATCGTAATTTGTTTAAAGATAGATGGTTACTTATCAATTTTCATACTGTCCCTTTTCACGTCTTATAATATTCAAAAACTTGTACAATGTAGGTTTTTAAAATTGATGACTTCAAGTAATAAATAATAAAAACATTTGATTCGTAGTCAAATTCAGATTATGAATTTAATAAATTTGTTGGTGCATCCATTATCTTTATTGAAAAATACCGAAAAACATTAAAAAAAATACATTTTTCATTCAAAAACCAACTTTAATTGTAATACAACAATCAATGGCTTTTTACACTACAAATCTTAAAAATATTCATTTTTATACAGATTTAAATTTGTCATTAACACTTCAAATATTCAAATAATACTAATAATAATATTAATATTCGAAAAATTAAATAATATTTAATTGCTTAAATTAATTACTTAAGTAATATCAGCTTAATGATAATCTTATACTATTTCTAAACACGATTTCATGTATTTGAATCATATTTAATTTTGTTACATTTTTACTACTATTATTTATACATATTGTTACATTTGTTAAAATAGACTTCATACGAATTTATTTATAATCATTTAAATATATTATAAATATTAGTTATAAATGTTGCAAAAGTATTATAAATTCTCAGAGTAAATTATTTATATGTAATTTGTGCTTAGAAAATATTTAAAAACTAGTTTTTGGGAAACATCATTTTTATCATCAATTATGATTTATTGCATAATTAATTTTATTAGGAATTTTCATTTGGAGTTGAAAATTTTTTTCTTTTATTTTTCATACTTATAAAATGTTTATATTTTGTATAAAAATGTTATTGTACTTATATTTAAAAATTCCACGCATATAATTTAATGTACTACATAATTTATTTGTAATAATAAGTAACTGATTTTATTTATCCGTGTATCTTATATAAATTAAATAATCTAAGTATAATGAACCTTTACATGTATTGATACTTAAAAAGTTCATAATTAAAACAGAATATTATGGAATCGAAATCTTTGGTGCTAAATTTAATTAATTAGCATCATATATATAGTCAGACGAACTGTTGAATATTTTTGTATTTAAATTCATCTTCGAGAGAACATAAAATGAACGCTACATAAAAATCTTAACTATATTTTTAAAAAGTACAGAGAAATAAGTAAATGCGATAAAGAGATAATAAAAAAATAAGGCTCTTTTAGAACTTGTACTTGAAGTCTAATTTGACAATGTACTCGACTTTAACTTGTGCTACATCATATACAATAAATTCGTTATAAAGTAGAGAGGAATCTTTTTTAAGTTCGGCAGAAATGGCAGGTCCGCAGGGCACTTCAACACCACTTTTGAGTTTAATAGACTTTTCAGGGTCAGGTTGAGTTTTTCCTCGACCCCAAGTTGAGTGTTTACCATGTGGCAGTTTCTCAATGTAGTCGGCATGGTAAAGTTCATGCATGTTACCAAGCGCTACATCACAAAGTAGTAACAAACCTTTTGAATCCTTTGCATTAGTGCAACAGTAGTTGGCGGATTTGGATACCATATCCGCAAAGTAAATTCCTTTAGAAAAAGAAGAAAAACAGTTTATAATAAATGTATTGCGAGTAATTTATTTTGTTTAAACTGCTATTGTTTTATTTTTTTGATAAAATTATGTATTATGAAAGTTACATCATTTATTAACTTCTTGATAAACATTTGAAATCTTTCAATTGGGTTTTTTAAAAAAAAAAAAAAAAAAAAAAAAAAAAAAAAAATATATATATATATATATATATATATATATATACTTTTACACTATTATAAATACAAAATATTAATAAGTTTGATGAAAAATTTATAATTTACACAACCAATGATAATTAATGAAATAAATAATGTATTGAAAAAAAAATTAATTGAATCAGTTAACTATTATTTTTTTGTTAAAAAAAAAATCAATTTAGTTATATCAAATAATTACATTATTGATAAAATGCATAAAAAACATTAATTGAAAAAAAAATACCAACCTTTTCCGAACATGTAACCAGTAACAGGAGCTTCAGGTGGTGCAATTCTAAGACCCTGTGATAATATGCCAGCAAAGTTGGTAACCCTGGAACCATGCCACAAAAGTTTTCTGTTGGATAACTTCTTAAAAGGCTTATATCTGCGTTCCTCTCCATTCCTTTTAGTTACAAAAATATCTTCGATAACGAGTTCAAATTGTTTATGCGTCTCTGCATGTGTATTCTTCACATACTTTTCAATGAGTTTAAACTCATCGCTCTCTTTATTCAGCATATCAATATCTGATTTAAGTTGCTCATAATGGGCATCCAGTGGATTTTTCTGTGTATCGGCTTTTGAGTGAAGAAGATCGTAGGCTATTTCCATTTCTAACAGAGACTCAAGCATTTCACTCTTGGCTTGAATTTCTACCTCAGTTTCGATAATACTGGATTAAACAATAATTTTTATTAAACAATAAATTAAAAAAACAAAACAAAAAGCTTATTACTATACAAATAATTAAACAATTATACATTTCATCTCAAATATTAAAATAACTTAATTTTATTCATTCATTGCACTACTCATTTGATAATAAATTTAAATTATTTTAAAATCCTATTCAAATTAATTTAATTTTCTTGTTGATATTAAGGAAAAAAGTTTGAAATCGAAAACTTTCAATGAAATTTATTTACCTAGGCTCTTTTATTCCAAAATTGTGTGGTATAAGGGTATAAAACTTATTGGAAGCTGCTATGTACTTGCTCCTATCCACGTTACCTTCCTTCACAAGAGCTAAAAGCTCTGTGAGAACCAAATAAGCATGCTGAATTTGTTTTTTTGAGATCTTCCCTAGAGGCATTTTATCTAGATCAATTTCATACTCCAGCATAGTTTTCTTCATAGTGTTTACGTCGAAAATCATGCGAATGAGATCTTGAATTGGTTTCTTGAGTTTGCTCTCAATATTAGATTCAAACAGTTTAGAGTTATCTACCTCGTCACCGTGATCTATGTCGATAGGATACATTTTTTGAGATACTTTGACAAAATTTTCCCGATTTTTCCATAAATTACCAGATTTTTCCTCATACAATTTTTCAAACATAGCAATGCAATCGTCCAGTTCCATAGAATCGCATGTATTACCACCCACTGTTGTACCTATTGCATAAAAAATCAATAAATTTTTAATAAAATTCAATTTTTAATTGAATATGAATTATATCGAAGCATTTAAATAATAACATCCTGTATTATGATGCAATAATAATTACCGATTCGACCCCAGCTGCGAAATAAGTAATATTTATTTTTCTTGTCGTGTTTGAGTATTTGCAATTTATAAAAAGTGTTTTTTTTTGTCTGGATATCAGTGAGACAGAGAGTAGTTGTAAATTTCGTTTTACCACTCTGATATACATGAGCGATATCGTCGAGTCCACTGTCAGGATCAACAGCACCTCCACCTTTTATGCGAAGCTTTACTTTACCCGAGGAAGATTTCTCGTAACTACTCTTACTTTTTGCTGCAGATTTCTAAAATTTCATAAGAATATAGATAAATAAAATTATTATATAAATATTCTTATAATATCTATAGAAAAATTCATTTACTAAATAAGAATAATATTTTAATTATTTTTAAAAATAGTTCTAAAAATAAATCAATAAAAAATACCATAAAATATTTTGTATTATGCTCTTCCTGTTATATATCCTGAATGGACAACAACATTTATATTTTAGTTTTCAATAAAACTATGGGTAAACATTTTAGTAATTTATAAATATTATATTCGTTGATGCACGAGATTTGAATAAAAATAAAACCAGATCATTGCACTTACCGTTGCTACAGATTTAGAAATTCTCAAAGATGGATCACCGCCCCAAGGTGCGATGGATTTTTTCTTAAAAAGTATAATTGGAGTATCGGTAAATTCTTTAGCTTCCTCAACAAAATCTTCAGATACAATGTGAATATCGTACTGCTTTGCTTCCTTTATTCTCCTGTTAATCTTTTCAACTTCTGCTGCGGTGGCTATTACCGCAGCTGTATTTTCAGATACTTCGGGTTTCACACTGCCTCCCATAAGCAGAATTTCTCTTTTCAGCTCATCTTTGTTCTTATTTGTCTTACCTACGATTACGAAATCCAAATGTTTAAGTGGCCGCGGCTTACTCTGGATCTTAGGACCGTCTGGCTGATCTTCTTTCTTCACTGCACTCAGTGTTGTTGGAGACCTTATTTTCAATATCCTGCGTCGTACTTTAGATTTGTACGATGATCTAAAATTGAATTATTATTGAAAAGAACAGATAAACAAAATTATTTCTAAAATTATGAATGTTCACGTCCATTGATAATTTATAAGCCTCTAAATATTAACAATAACATTTATATACAGTATTTTAAAAATAGTTTTAAACTTTTTTCCAATTTTACGAATTTTATTTTTTTGTTATTTTTTTGTTACTAAATTATTAAACTAATGAAATAAAATCATTCAATTTGACATTTATTATATTTTCAGACATAAATTATTAATGATAAAATTTTAATTAGCAAGTATTTCACAAAATAATTGTATGAAAATAAAAATGTAAAAATTATAATAAATTTATCCCATTCGATTTATATATATTTAAACTATATATTAATATTCTAAACAACATATATTTTTTTGTAATGAAAGACAAAATACTCACAGAAAAGTAAGTTCTTTCAATTCCTTTGGAATATGGAATTTTCTTCTTTTAGGATCTTGCGTGATATTTTCACATAAAGCCCATTCCGAGATACTTCCAGTACATTTATATCCAATGCCAGATTTATATTTAAGTTGGCCATTACATTTTGTACACGATTCCAAAGCACCGAATTGCATAGCATCTGCAAGAACATCTAACATCTGTAAATGAAAATAATAAATCTTATGTATTAATATATATTTTACGTAATATTGTAATACTATAATTATTTTTATTATGTTCAACTATGTAGAATTTTCCAAATAACATCTTATATGAATTGTAAATTATAATTATTTATATATTAATTATTAAATTTCTTATAATATGCAAGTGTTCCTAATCGAAACATAAGTTGTACAAAATTAACAAATTTTATTTACAAGAATCAAAGTAAGATGCAACGAATATTAAGTTAATAAAGATATTTTGATTTTTTTTTAAATATATAGTTGAATAAAATTGATAATCTAATAGACTCATTTAATGCGATGGTATATAAAAAATATGTAAGTATGGGCACGTGCATATTCACTCATCTTTATCTGTTAGTATCATGTAACTAATTTTGTGTATAATAAATAATTCGTATTTGAAAAATAAATAAAGGTTGAATCGAACATTTTTGTTTATTAACTCAATAAAAGAGAATGAATGAAAAAATAACTCTTAAAATTTGAAAAACTGATGATTTAAAAAAAAAATATTTTACGTAGACTTTTTTTTTATTAATATTTGGAAAAAATAGCTAAAATTACGTCGTTTATTAAGTACCAAATAAAGTCTACCTCATTGGTCCCACTTGGTACATTTTGTTTATTGGCTTCGAGTAGTCTGACAAGGTTTTTCTTATTGAGTTCAGATAGTTGATCTCTAATGGCGAATATCTTCTTGTTTTGGACTTTGAGCTGCTTATCCTCTTCCTCATCCACAGACTGAACCTTAATTTTTTTCACGGCCGGCGCCGTATCTTCCTGCTTGATTTTGGGCAAGAGTTTGAGGAGAATCTCCATGTCAAGCTTGTTAAGAGAATCATAACCCGGTAGGTTTGTTGCCGCCTCTAAAAAGCCGAGCTCCGCCCTAAGTTTGGCGAAACATTCGGCATGATGCCAACGATCGAGACCTCCGAATTTCCTTGCCTCATCGCTTTCATAGTCCTTCTTCGACAGTCGCATTTCGGCTTTTACGATCGTTTCTTCGCAACCTCGGCATTTAGAGCGATTTGATTTAGCGTACTCTACCCGGAAATCGTTTCCAGATTCGGTCACAGCCTTGGTTCGCTTACGGTTACCTTTGCCACTCTTCGCCAATACTACCGGTTCTCCTCCAGCAATAAGTTCCTCTGAGAACAATTAAGAGATGATTTATTAATGCACATATATTTTAATGTATCAAATAACCACGTTGAATAATGTTGCTCTATTATTAGAGGGGGGGGAGACGAAAATAAATAATACATATATATATATATATATATATCAACATCTTCTATGGCAATAATTCTCAAGCAGCTGAAACCTACTACCAAGTCTTCGCAATGCAGTTTGTGTACTGTTATTTATAAATTGTAGATATTACAAATTACATATAATTTACAATCATAATATAATATAATATACATACATAACATACAACAATTACATACAATTTACATACTCTTTTACTTTTCGAATACATCGCGCAAGTTCATGAGTGTCACTTATAAACCTTATATATGCATAAAAACTTCATATAACTTAATATAATTCTGTCCAAAGAATGATCCACATGTAACAAGCTGTTTCTCACTTATTTACATTGGTATTAATCGATTAGTGCCCGTTGTTCGCCGAATAGTCGCATACCAGTTATTCATATTCTTAGTATAAATATTTAAATACACTTATATTATTTATTTATGCTTATGCATATTTATATTTTATTCAACATTTGATTGATTATTGTATAATAACTTTACTGATGTTTTTAACTAATAAATAATAGAAATGGAAAAATGTTTTTGGAAATAAAATTAATTTCAAAGTAATTTTAAGATTATTTAAAATTTTAAGAAAATTTAAAATTCTCTGAATATTTCTGTTCATAATTAATAAAATTATTAAATTATTCTTAGAAAGATGTGCGAGATCGGTTTTGATCTGAACGGTCTTGAATTTTATATAGCAAGTAATGCTATTCTTGAACAAATACTTCAATCTCTTTAAATAATAACAGGAATTGGAATTATTTCAGGATATTTATCAAAATTTCAAAATAAAATTAAAATATTCATGGCATTAAGAAGTTTGTAACCTTTTTTTTATAGGTCGACTGTGTTAAACATGAGGTATGTGGATTATCGGTACAGTTAAGTTTTATCAGTTACTCTTTACTCATTTACTTAGATCATAAATATTGTATTTTCATATTATAGTTAGTAGCTAACAAAAACGAAAAGAATATATTGTTGAAAAAAAAATCGTGATAAAATTGTTTTTGGTAATATACGGTGTAATTCTAATTTTAACTTCATATACTTAACAATGAAATATGAAATTGAAAACTGTATAAATCTTTAAATTTGTAAAATTTAAATAGATTCTTATATCAATAAAAAAAAATGAAAGAAACATATTATACTTGAATAAAATAATTGAGGCCAAAAAATTTATAAGAGATTTCATACAACAATGATTAAATTATAAATGGATCCATATAAACCATGTCTTTAAAACATAATTAGGATAATAATAGACAATTTAATTATATCTTTGAAAAATTTACAAATAATTAAATTCAAGTTTCCAAGTAAAAATTGGTTTAATGAATCCTTTTATATTTCAAGTATGAACTGTTTAAATATATATATTTTTTCAATTACTACAGTGTTTTACGTAATTTATTTTTACACAAATAATTAGAAAGAGTAGCAAAGTAATATTATAAATTAAATAAAATACAATAAACCTAATATATATTCTAATTCATAAAATAATTGGAAAAACTAATTTATAATCAATAAAAACTTGTTCTTGATAAAACAGTTTTGTCTATTTTATAATTTACATAATACAAATAAAATATTATAATGCTTATGTCTTAATATAGAAAACTTTAAAAAATATCTATTTATATAAATAAAATACTTTGAAACTTGTACATTCTGACATATTTAAAAAATGCTTCTTTCAACAAATTTTTATTTAAAACAAATTATCCAATAAAAATAAGAAAATTTATAATAATAAATTTGATAAACTTGTTTTTTATTGTAATAAAGTATCTAATGTACTTTAATTAATATCCATATTATATTTAATCATTACAAATAAATTAATATCGATAAATTAATTTTTTAAAATAGAGTTTTATAATTAAATTAGTAAAAAATAGAAAATACCTAAGAACTTTACTTACTTCACAAATTATTCATATCAAAAAAAATATGTAAGATGAATTAAAAAATTAATACAATATTTTAAATAAATATAAATTATATCAAATTAAAATGTCAGAGTTTGACTTATTAAAATTTTACTAATAAAAACTAAACAATATTGATTTATATATTAAACGAAATTAATTATTTTTAATACAAATATACAACCATATTAGTAATAAAATTTTAATTTAATATAAAAAGGAAATAAATAATGAATTAACATTATTTTTTACCCATTTTCTTTTTAATAAATTCTTGATCTTCCCAACGGATATTATCATAGTCAGCAATGTCTCCAATTACTTTTGGACGCTGCTTTTCAAAAAAGCAATTTGCATGATGCCATCGTTCCAATTTACCATCATGGAAAGGACTCTAAATAAAATAAAAATAAAATAATAAGAAATCTGAATATTGATAAGAATATAAGTGTTTTAAACTCTTCTATATTCTTGTTTTACTCTTCTATTCTACAAAATATAATTTTTTTTTTCTATTCTACATAATTTATTAAAAATTAAAATATTCAATAAGAAAAAATTAAGAACAATTTAATTTTACGAAGAAAAATTATTTTATAAAAATAACAAAAACGTTTATGCTGATATTGCACATTTATATGCATATATATATATATATATATATATATATATATATATATTTATAAATAGTTTGATGTAAACAATTGAGAAATGATTCAAGTAAATGCAATTAGAAGACAAAGACGCACTGTCAACCAACGGTGACCAACATGTCACTTGGCAATTTTTAAATATTTATTGAAAATTGAAAGAAGTCACAATACGTACCTGAACAACAGTGGCAATACGCAAACTATCCTTTGCTATAGGATTCTTGCAAACTTTGCAACCGGCTCTGCCGCTTTTCGAATATTCGACGCGGTATGGCAAATTATCCGTCATATTTACGGTTTCCGATCAATTAAAACCACTGCAAAATTATCGAGAATTCCAGCTTTATGTGATTTCGAAATTTCTGAATATTTTCGCGCCGTAATAAATTTAACCCAGCCAAAACAAAACTAACACGCGGTAAAGGCAAAACGCCACACTGCCGCGTAGTTTGCTCTTTTTCATTTTTTCTCCATCGTGGCGCTTTTAACAGCGATATTGTGGTCGATTTTCAAAATACCGACTGGCATCAACGTAAACTCACAAATCGATTGGTTTTCTCTGGAAGTTGAGAACGATATTTTTGAAATCGTGAGCATGAAGCAATACCGTCAAATATACTGATTTTAATATAGCAATTCAAAAGTCGGACTCAATTTTATTTGCATATTTAAACTTTTTTTTTTAATTTATAATTGATTTTTATAAATTATTAATAATTTTTATTCTATTTAAAATTCTGTATTTTAACGTTTTTATATTACTTATATTTTATCTTGTAAATATTTTATATCGTTATCATGAAAAAAGTTATAAAAATAATTCGAAAAAATGATTGAAAAACTGGTACATTCAGTTTTAATAATTAAATGCTCTTTATTTATACATTAATTGTCAATATACATTTATTATAACATAACAATTATTACCATAGTGTGATTAAAAATGTTAAAGGGAATATTTCTGATACCTGAACCATACATTCATTTCTTAAAATAAATTTCTTAAGATTGTAAAAGTGTACCATATCTCTTCCCAGGCATACTATAATTTAAAATTATTTTATTCTAATAATGTATATTGTAGTTATTTATTTAATCACTTTCAGTTCCTTTCCAATTTCTGTAAATGTCTCGATAGCTCTATGTATATCTTCAATTGAATGAGCTGCACTAATTTGAACTCTTATTCTAGCTTTTTCTTTTGGAACTACAGGATAGTTAAATCCAATAACATATATGCCTTTTTCTGTAATTAAAAATTGTTGCAAATGTATATAGTTATACAATTATTTATAAGAAATATATACTTACCTAACATTTTATCTGCAAATACATTTGTAAGTTTGGCATCCCCAAGTATAACAGGACAAATAGGATGCATATCGCCATTAATTTTAAAACCAGCATTAACCATTTGTTGTCTAAATAATTCTGTATTATGTTCCAATTTTGTTATCAAGTCAGTACTCTGACTTATAAGGTCTATTACCTAAAATATTATGTACACACAAATTAATTATAATATTAAACTAATAATGACAATAAAAACTATTATATAAAAAAATATTTAAGAATATTATTATATTTAATTATAAATATTTATAACATTTTTAAGTTATTGCAATAAGAAAAATATTTTTTATAACATTTACTGTTTCTGATATTGTTTAATTATATCATTTACTTAATTATACATATTTATAAGTTTTTTTTTATAGAACTTACTCGAATTCCTGATGCAACTATTGGTGGTGGTAATGAGTTAGAAAAAAGATATGGCCGACTTCGCTGTCTCAATAAATCTATAACTAATTTGGAACTTACTGTGTAGCCACCAGTTATTCCTCCTAATGCTTTACCTAGTGTAGAATTGATTATATCAATACTACCAAGTTGATCAAAGAACTCTTCTGTTCCCCTAATATTATTTAAAAAATTTTATGAAATAAAATATCTATCAGTACTTTAAAAATAAATTTTTTAATATACAATAATAAAAAAATATAAAATAAATACCTGCCAGTTTTACCAAAGAATCCAGTGGCATGGCAATCATCTACAAAAGTTAAGGCATTGTACTTCTTGGCAAGATTAATTATGTCTGGTAAAGGTGCAACAGTTCCATCCATTGAAAATACACCGTCGGTAGCAATCAAACGTAATCGTGCTGTTGAAGTCTCTTTCAGTTTAGATTCTAAATCCATCATGTCTCTGTGCTTATACCTGAACAAAGTATTTTTAAGTTATCTTTCAATTTCTCATTAAAAAATATTTGTATTGTTATCTGCAGGATTATTATTAGTGATTGTATATATATATATATATATATATATATATATATATATATATATATATATATATATATATATATATATATATATACATGTATATGTATACAACTAAGGTTTGTTTTTCTATATTATTGACAAAAATAATCGAATATAATAACTGAGAATAAGTAACACTTTCAAACTTCTAAGTTGATTCACAATAGTACGATAACAAATAGAGTGTTAGTAATAGTGAAATTTTTTATAAAATATATATAACCTGAATTTTTTAGCTTTACAAAGTCGTATTCCATCAATAATGGAAGCATGATTAAGCTCATCGCTAAAAATTGCATCATTTGGAGTTAATAATGTTTCAAATATTCCAGCATTAGCATCAAAACATGATGCATAGAGTATTGCATCCTCTCGATTATGAAATGCTGATAGTTTTTTCTCCAGCTCTAAATGAATATCTTGTGTACCACAAATGAAACGAACCGAACTCAAGCCAACACCATATTTATCTACAGCTACCTTAGCTGCTTTAATAATTTCTTTATTATTCTAATAATAAAAATGTAAATGTACATTAAAAAAAAAAAAAAAAAGATATAAAAATATTTTGGATTATTATTCAAATATATATATATATATATATATATATATATATATATATATATTAAACTAATTAATGAGTTAATTGAATTTTTTTTAATAAAGTAACTGTCTTAATTATTCATTTTGGTTATTTATTTTCATTTTTATTTTATTTTTGTAAAAATATCTCTTTTATATTAATTAGATAATTTAGAGTTTTTTCATTTGAATATAAAATTAAGTCTCTTTTATTAAACGAAGCTCTTAATAATAAGTGTTATAAAGTTTAAAATATTGACAAAAATTTTAAGTATTATGTAGTTTATAATATTTGCAAAGAGTAAAATCATGAATCTCATATTTATTTGATATTGAACTTTATTTATTTTTAATATGAGTTATATTAAATATTTAATTGAACGTAGTAATTTTTTTATATTCGTATCAGAAAAAATTCAATTAATATCTCAAATTTACATTTTTCACTTATTAAAAACTTACTGATAATCCTAAATAATTATTTGCACAAAAATTAAGAACTTTCTTTCCATTAGCCAATAAAATATTGGTACTCTGAGATGATGCAATAATTCGCTCATTTTTCCAAGTACCAGCATCCTTGATAGATGTTAATTCAAATTTTAGCACTGTTGCTAAATGTGTTTTGTACCGCATTCCGATGCTCCGTTTACCTGAACATATACAATTATTAAATACATTAATTAAAATTTTGTATTATGCATTCCAAATCGCTTTATAAAAAATTATTAATTATACCTTTGAATAAAATATAGTCCATTATTATCCTTTTAAACTAAAATTCTAAATATTGCAGAAAACAGTTCATATGCTTACGGATTTTATATATACGAAAATAATTATATGCCGTAAACCTGTTACAAGCATCAATTTTTTATTAAAAAAAAAGAATTCTCTTCTGATATTTATAAATGGTAGTTATGTAACTAATTTGGTAGGAATCCGTATAATTAATAATTTAAAGCGTTAAATTTAATATTAATAATCTTGATTTAAAAAATAATTAATAATTAATAAACAAAGATGTAATTAATTTTTTTTCAATAATTATTGTTTCACTTAATATTGAAATACCCATATATTAAAAAGATTTGTGATTGAGAATTTTTATATATTACGAATAAATCATAAACTGATATAATTTAAATTGATTTTCAAATAATTTATTCTTTCAGTTTTAATTTTCGGAATTCAAATATAAAAATCGATTATTATAAAAAGAAATGGATCCTGCAAAATTTTTAATTATTGATACTTATTTCCTGTTGGCAGGTAGTGTTGAGTATTAAACGAACAGGTGGATTATAATTGCGATACCGTTATTCAGTGCAAAAGCACGATGTATAGTCTAACTTCTTTCAATCTTGGTGCAATAATACTTTTATTTGATTGTTCGACTAGTGTAGCGAGAAGAGCTTTGTATTATTTTATATTACTTTCATTGAATAATTTATATCAATAAATAAATATGTTAAGTGAATCAAAAGTACAACTCCATTAAATATAAAGATTAATTACAACTTTTATCTAAATAAATATGTAAAATGTGATTATAGGAACTAAAATATTTAATCAATGGTATACTTAAAATACCACGCATATAAAATGTATAATGTGATAATAGAAAATTGCTTGAACAAGTTTGAGATATCGTATGAAATGTTAAAAAATAATATATATTATATCCATAAATACGAATTATTCGTCCAAAAATTTAATAAAGTGTTAACTGCTCAAATTGAAAATTATTTCTGAAAATTATATGTAATAATTTTTCAAAGTTTTAATTATTTTGCTTGTGGCATGAATTTGAGGGAATATAAATGAGATATATTTATTTTACTACACTTCAAAATTAATTTTCTATAAAAGTTAATTTAAAAATGCATAATAAAATTAAAGCATTTCCTATCAAAATATTTGTGAATATCTCAATTTAATATTGTGTAAATTAGAAAATATTGATATGATATAATTATTGAAGTAGTTTATTATAGAGTATAGTAAGAAACTCTTTTTTCAAACTGTTCAATCAAAAATACTAAAGGCAAAAAGCGAAAAAATACATTACATCGTGAATTATTTATTCATACTCTTAGTATTAGTTTATAAAATCTAAGATCATAAAAATGTAATTATATAATATAATAGAAAACATAATTAATTAATAATTAATTAAGAGAAATAAATTATACAAAAAATATCGATGATTTTTATAAAAAAAACTTGGTATGCACCTAACGCACTTATTTTGATAATTTAGAGAATATCTTCCTTGTTAATATCAGTTGAAATAATTAGTCTTTATATTTTATTAAAATGCATGGAAAATAATTGTGATTTCTTAATTAAACAAAATTGATTTTCTACATTATAATTAATTTTTAATATAAAAGTTATCAATAACATGTTTTTAAACTACCTGATCACATCCAAGATTTTCGATTAGATAATAATTTTTAATCTTTAAGTTTTGAGAAATAATGTATTGATAATATTAACAAATCTTTAGAATAAAAACTTTACATTTATTTTAAATTCCAAATTTTTTAGAAATTACTGTCTTTATATCTAGTATTTATTTTTTTAAAAATCAATCTACCATCTTTAGTCATGCAAAATTTAATAAAATTAAAATATTCATGAAATTACATAATCAATAATTTTTATATTTTCTAGTGTATACAAACATATTAACTTAAATTATTCTAATAATAATTTCATAATGTTAATTAAACTAGTAACAGTATATTATTATAAAATAAACTACAAGAATGGCAGTGAAGTATTTATAGAAACTTCAAATATTTCCTATAAATGTAGATATTTAGTTCGTTTGAAAAATTGCAATAAAGTTCTTAGGGTACAGTATTTTTTAATATCTTTACATTTACTATATATTTACAGCTAAATTTTGTTTATTTGTAAATTTATAACAAAAATGGGGATTATAAATAAATATACTAATCGTTCTTTTTAAGTGAAATATTCATATAATTTATAATTATGGATCATTTTGATTTCAAACTATTTATAGATATTATTTTGGCGATAAAATAATTCTTTAATGATAATTCTTAATTCTTTAATAATTCATTAATATATACGATTAATTTTTGCGTTTATTATATATATATATATATTTAGGGAAATACAATAATATTAAAAATAATATTATTGAAATATATTATAATATTATAAATAAAATATATACTTTTATATTCTTAGTTTTTAACAAAATGTTTTATTATTAATATAATTGTATATTTAAAATAATTTTAAAAATTTTAAAAATTTTCTTTATATTATAATACAATATAAAATTTATAATATAAAAAAAACAGTATTTATACTTTCAATAAAACATTCTGTTAACTTTAGTTTAAAGCCAAACATTGAATTTTTAATTGAAACACGCAATATAATTTATTTGTATCAATAATTTAATTTATAAGCTTATTTGTAAATTATAAATTTTATACAATAACTTATATATGATTTAATGAAAACACTACTGTACAGAAGAAAATCCTTTGCTTCATATACACACGCGCAAATAACACATACAGTAAACTGTGAAAGAATTTTAAATCCAAAGAAAAGATTTTATGATTAATGAAATCACAATTACAGAGTCTACTGCTCCATGGAACATTAAAAAACAGTCTCAATTTTAAATAGATATAAAACTCAATATAACAATAGTATGATGTGGAAATAAATTTACCAGTTTAATTAACAGAAAATTTTTGATAATTTAACATAATTTTTACTTTTCTTTTTATTTCTGATCGAAATATTATTGAAAAGTATTAATTTAAAATGCCTTTGACTTGCTTGAAATTCTTATAGCAAAGTTATATATATGTGAAAAGTTGTGTACTATTAAATATACTGCTCCCAAATATGCAATAATGGCTATTGTTAAAAAGAGATCGAATACTGCAGGTTTCACACTGTAATAGAAATAATATATATTCTATTATTTCATAATTTCTTTTTTATATAGTAATTATATAATAAATATCTTAAAATATTTCAAACAATAACTACTTAATATTTAGGTGAATTTTTAGTTAATATATAATAAATTACAATATTAATTATACAATACAAAAATATTATTCTATATAATCATTTAAATTAAAAAATATCTCTTTCATAGTAACATAAGAATAGTTTTAAGAATATTGTCATAAAATTTCAAAACTTCTTTTGAAACTGTCGAATTTTAAAAGTTCTCTTTTTAATAAAAGAGTTTTATCTGTTATTACAGTGTTAATGATATGGTTGGTAAATAAATAAATAAAAAAAAAAAGAAAAAAAAAAGCAGTTGACATTGAAAAAAAGACTTTTAAAAATAAAACTTAATTTCAAATGGTGTGTTTGCATAAAATATTTTACATTAAAAATTTCTATATCTATACATTGCCATATAAATATTTTAGTACACAATGTTAAACGATAATGAAAATTTTTTCTTAAGTTTTTATATAAATTTTTTTATATAGTACTGTTTTATTCTTTATTTAATGTATTAATAATTAATATATTAAATATTAAAATTCTTAAATTGTAATTTTTAATATTCTTTATTGAAATTGATAACTGTTATCTATATTATATTAAACTTATATATATATTTGATTTATCATTTGATATCTAATTATAATTAACAATAATCAATATATTAATTTATATTTTTATCTATTTATTATTGTTTTATTATTTATTATCTATTCAGTATTTATCTATTTATTATTTGATACAGAAGATTATTATATGTATAATCTGGTAAAATTTTTTAAATTTCGTATTAATCGAAATATATGAATATCTAAGTTCGGATGATAACCTTTAAATTTTATAGAATTAAAATTTTTGGGTATCTAAAATCAATTTATATATTGTTCTTTATTATAATTGATTCTATTCTGAGCCTATATTTTATATAATAATAATAATTTAAAATACATTAAATTTTAAAGTAAGTCTCTAATTTTACCTGTAAACATTCAACATCGCTTTTGTCACATCGTAAAAAACAAACTCTGGATCTCGTTTATCTGGAGTATGAAGAGTTACTTTAACATCACCAAGATATTTTTGCATTGCTTCTTTAAGTGTATTGACTAAAATATTTTGTTTATCAGATAGTAACGATCCTGCTCGAGGTTGCGATGCTAAAAAATTCATCCACATATTTAAGGAATCTTTGGAAATGCTCTAAAAATGTGATAATTAAAAAAATTAATCAAATATATATAAATCTAATGTAATAAATTTTAATATATAAATTTTCCAAATAAATAGTTGTATCTATCTTAAATTTATATTTTTAAATCTACAAACAATTACTATAAAATGCAGTACGTAAATATCATGACTTTATTAAAAGAACAAATTATTTTATGGAAGAATTTATCATAATCAAATCTTTTGATATTGAATATTTTTTTACGAAGAAGAAAATTAAAACATTACAATTCAATGAAGTTTACCAGTGATTCAGCAAATATTTTACTATAACTTATATTGTATATGTGTCTAGCAAGAGCCTCTGCCACTACACTGGTATGCTTATAAAGTCTATCGACTTGGACTTCTTGTACAATATCTAAAATGGTATTTCTTAATGGATCTTCATGACTTTTAAGAGTTGACAGAGTTGCTGCAGGTAATCTCCGAATACTATAGCGTTCATGCTCCCAGGCTAAACTCTCGTCTGCTAAATTAATCTTCTTATGAACTCCCTCAATATTACTGTAGCCAAAACTATCAGAGACAGCTTTAAGTTCCTTGTAAATTAGACCACCAGGGGATGATTCTTTAGGGGGCTTGGATACATGTACATATAAATCGTTGCTTGATGAAACTGAATCCAAGCATATAACATAAGAAGCATCCTATTTTGTAGTAAGATTTAAATTATAAATATACACTAATTCAATACAGATTTAATTATATAATAAATATTATATAAATATAGAAAATATAAATAATATATAAAATATAAATAATAATATATAAAATTATATTAGGATTGTAACTAATATATTTTTTATAAATTCTTTTAATCCAACTGATTTTTATAAATAATTAATTTTTATTTAAATACAGGAATGTTTGAAGAAAATATTTATCAATATTCAAAAAAGTTTAAAGTATTTTGTATTAAAAAATTCAATATAAAAGAATTTAACAAATCGCTTAATTCATTGCAAAGAGAACTTACTTGTATAACAGATCCTTCGAGTCCATCAAGTTGATCTTCCAACCATTTTTTGCTTCCTTGAAAATTAAGCTTTCCTGCTCCAGTTACAATAAAAATTAAATTATGTCGTGGTCGCGATCTTCCTATAGAGTAAAGTACTGAAAATAACCTGGCAAGTTCTAGTAACATTGCCAATCCTGATGCATTACTTTCAGCTCCAAATGATAATTCCTATAATAAGTTTTAATTATAACTTATTAATGTAATTCATTTGCCAAAATTCATATACATTACTATTAATTATATTACTGGTGCAACACCATTGCTGTCATAGTGAGCAACTAATGCAATTGTTGGTAGTTTATCTTCCGCTCCAGTTCCTGTTAACTTTCCTTGCAATGTTGCAACTTTAATATCATTTTTAATAATGGGTTGACTAGTAGAAACAACTACTTGATATCCACTAGCAGAAATTGAATTAAATAAGGCTTCTGCTGCAGATCTAGTTTTATCATCAGCAATAAAACTATGCTCTATATCTTGTAAAATTATTTGAAGCTCTGAATTCCACTGAACAAAGTATACAGGAATTGGAGTCTCTGGACCATGTATCATGGACTCTTCTAAAGACATTATATGCTAAAAACAAAAATTTTATATGAATCACGTTAAGCTTTATTTTTCTTTGACATTATCAATTTGTATATTTTATATTTCTTAATTACCTGTATCTCATTTTGAGTTAGTTTATTTATCTTTTCTGGAAGAACAACAATTAATGCTCCGGCTTTTTGTCTAATAGACTGAAAAGTTTCTGGATTAAGATCTAAAGCTCTAACAACAATGCAATGTCTAGATGTGGTCCAACCAGCAAGAGATCTTGCTTCTAAAGAAATTGACGCACTACGGCAACCTTAAATAATAAAATAAAATTGATATAAACTTAATATTTAAAATAGAATAAAGATACTAGAGTTTTATTTGTATTTTTATTACTGATTCTATTTGAATATTTAAAAATTTTAATTATATGTTTATTAATAATTTAAATTGAAAAAACTATTAAATTAGTAGATTGTTCAATTTAATATGTTAATTTTGTATGCCACTTTATTTGTTCATCTGTCTAACGTAATTTAATTTCATTTCATAATAAATTATTATTTAGGAAATTTTTAAAATGAATGCATCTTACAAAATCTATAATTGATACTTTAATTGCTGTTATACATAATGTTCATATAAAATAATAAATTTTTTACCATGAGGTACACCGTGCAAGTCATATTGACTCATACGAAAGGCTGGAAATTCATGAGAAGCAGTTACAGGATTAGCTGGTGAGATTATTATAAATAATGGTAAAAATATTAATAGATAATATGGTAAATAACCACGGCATAATTCTGCAAAACTATCACACTCATCAACCCACATGCCTGCGTAAGATTTGTATTAAGAACAAAAGGAAATAGAAATATGTATTAGGTTATGTACACGTGCTCTTATTATTTTTTCTTTTTGGTTCACTAAAAATTATTTAATAGATTAATCAAATAAAAGAATACATAATTCTGCCACTTTTAATTCCCCCTTCCTATTATTAAGAATACCCGAAACTTGAGGGTTAGACAAATTAATATAAAGGTTGATTTACAGAAGCAGCAATTTATAAAAATGGACATATAAATTTATAGGTTAGAATCAATTAATTTAATCCTACATTATTTAAATGGAAATTTTATTAACAAACAAATTTAGTAAATAATACAAATTATTGGGTTAAATATAATTAAGTATTATTTTTGTATGCTGACAATTTTTTTGAATTTCATAAAAATTTTTAAGATTTTAAAAATATTGTAATTGGTAATTTATACGCTTAATATTATAAATCTTTACAATAAAAATTGTATATAGTATAAGTATTAATTACTCTTAAAATAATATATTAATTACGTTTATTTTTTTGTATATATTTAAAATTAATTATTGTATGATGACCGAGGTTTTTTAAAAATGAAGTTTTATATAAAGCAAATAAATTACTTCTATTTACTTTATAATACAATGTGTAATTTTCTTTATAATTTTACTTTTATATGATATAAAGATACTATTATATTTATTTGTTTTAATACAGGAAGCTAAGCAGCTGAGAATCAAGAAAAATTCATCATCAGAAATTCAAAATGCGCGCTAATCAGTTAGAAATGAATTCCATAAACCCATTGATTATATTTCGTTTCTATTAAATATTGTGGTTCATCTTTATTTTCTAAAATTTTGTATGCTAATTACATAAGTCTCATGTTTTATAATAAATTTTAATAAATAATATTAAGTGAGTATTGAGTATTAATTTCTTAAAAATATTTATATTATTGAATTTGAATTATTTAAATTGAGTTTGAATATATTTAGTCAGCTATGTCACTTTAACCATTATTTATATTGATTTCTTATATTTTTACATTTAATTTTAAAAAAATTAAAAATATCAAAATTAATAAATAAGTTAAATTGAAAAATCTTAAAAATTTCAAAGATACTTAAATTATGCACTCTATGATAAAGTATTGTAATATAAGTAAAGTTTTATTAATATTTACAAAATTTATATTCTAGCAATTCTTTATATCCTTTTTATTTTTAAATGTCTTGATTAATTTATATAAATTTCTTACATTTTAATGTACATGCATACTCATTAGTAGTCTTATATATTCATTTATTTTATTTAGAATGGGCAAAGGTCACCATCAGTTACCAAAAATTCCTAATGCATCAGTATATAAAATTGATAATTCTGTAGTATTGATGAATTTACAAAAGAAATTAGCTGAAAAAGGATTAAAGGATCCATGGATAAGAAATCATGTTTGGCGCTTTGAAGATTATAATAGATCGAAGTATCCTAAATCTATATTTTCATCATTTTTTTTACAAGGATATAAATATTGGATTCCATTAATTGGATTAACGATTGCAGTCGAATCATTTTTAGGTATTGATTATAGTGGACATGGTCATGGACATGAAGCTGATAGTGAACATCATTGAACATGGTATAGATATAATCGACAAATTTTGTTTTGTATTACTAAACCGCATATTGTATATTGCCAATATATGATAGTACTCAAATAAAAATAAAATTATCTTACACAAAGCAATAGATTTTTGAGAGTAAAAACTATATGTATTTATTTTAAAAATTACTATAGGTATTATATTGATAGTTTACAAGTAGACTTATAAATATAAGTATAAAATCCTCAATTCTCATTTATATAACGACGAGCAAATATAATTATGAAAATTCTAAAAAGATAAAATTTGTGTAATTAATATATAGTTATTGATTATAAATTGAATATTTTATATTTCATTAACTGTAATAGTTAATTTTTAATATTTTTTATAATTATGAACAATACAATTAATATTATTAATCTTTAAATATATTTAAATATAATTTTGTATTTTATTGAGAAACATAACAATGTTTAAATTTGTTAGTTTTGTAACTTGGGAATAAATTTAATTGCAATTTTTTATTTTAATTCTTAGTGATTGTTTTAATACCATATAATTATGTTAGATATTTTCATTTAATTAGCATACTGCAAATTGTACATTAAAAGAATTTTAAAATGATAAATAATGGTTTAACTTTATAGTTTTGATAATTTTTATATCTATGATTAAATAATGTATAAATTAAAATGTTTCAATAAACATACACTACATACTCTAATTTTAATTACAATATTATTAAAATTTTTTTTAAACACAATAAATCCAATTTCTATTTAATCATTTGCAGATTATTTTAAGATTTTATAAAGATATTCATTTGATGTATACAAAATTTTTAATACATAAAGAAATATAAATTTAATAAAAATTGTTAACACATACACGCAGATATGTGTGTGCGTGTGATGAAATTTTTAGATTAAATATGTTTAATTTTAACATTGCTTATCTTCAATGTATAAATTATATACATAAATTCACATACATATTTCTTTATATTTTTACATTAAAAATCTTTCATCGATTAATGTTTTTTTAGCTAAATTTCTTTTACCATTTAATCTACTAATAGTAATTAACAAATGAGAAATTAACATGGTAATCATACAAGCAAGAATATAGTCTTCGGACAAAGCTTGAACAAAAATAAATAGAGTAATTTCAAAAGTTCCTAACGTCCATTCGTTGCCATAAAATATAACTCGATCAAAAGTATTGTTATTATCTAAAAAATAAAAAATACATAGTAATTACAATTGTATACTTAATTGATTAAAATAGTAATGATATATTAATGATATTAATATATAATTATATAATAAATATATATTAAATTATATAAAATAATAAATAAATAAATATATATTTAAAATTAAACCTTTTAAATAAATTATAAAAATAGTGATAAGACGGAATTTAAGCCTTGCTTACCAGTTAAATTATAATTAACTTTATTTAATTATATTAAATATTATTAAAATTTTAATATGATTATATATTTTTATTTTTTATTTTAATTTTATAATTATTTTACTTATACATTATTACTTATTATTTAATTTTTCAATTAAAATTTAATTAATATACAATATTAGAAATGAATAGTTTATACCTATATAAAATGTTGATTGATTATCATTTGTTTCAATCTCTATATCACAGAGTTTTTCTAGAAAAAGTCTGTTTTTTATAACATAATCCAAATCCTTAAAACAATGATCTATAAATGCTGTCAAAAATTTTTTTATCTTCAAATGAGTTTGTAAATTTTTTTCCCAATTTAAGGATCCTACAGTTTCGCGTTTAAAAAATCTGTCCTCTCTCTTTAAATAAACAATTTCAATAATAACAAGTACAAATAAAATTTTACTTAATTTATTATAAATTATTTACCATATTTTGTAAATCAAGTAATTTATGATAAATTTCTCGAAAACGTGAAGATAATGATGTTATAAAAGTTTGATTCGTTGTACCTGGAATTAAACCTCTATGAGCACAAAGATTATTTTCCTCTCTTTTTAAATCATTAATCAAAGTTACTAAATCTGTATCGGCATATCCATGAACTGATCTAGAATTTGCAAATTCATCATTATTTAGTTTAATTTCTGTTAATTATATTACTTAATCTATTTAATAATTTATTTCATAATTCATTAATCATCAAATAAAACTTATTTTATTACAAATAAGTTATTACAATTACAAATACATATTACATTTATTTGACCAAATAATGATATAATTATATAAAAATTTGAATTGCTTTATTTTAACGGTCTAATATTATTATAAGGTTTGTGATTTAAATAAAACATGTTTGGCAGATAATTTGTATATTTAAACAGTTGTAGTTGTTTCTATATTGTGAATACATCATTACTAATAAATATTAAAATACTAAGAATAAAATAAAAGAATTAATAATAACATAAGAGACAGTAATGTCTTACTTTGAAGTATACACAAATTTGAAACTACTTATTCTTTTTTTACAAATAGCTGAAGTTAAATATATATTAAAAGAGAATATTTATTTACAATTAATAAGTCTCTTAATGTATCTGCTTACCTTCCATGAATATAGTATCCATAATAATCATATGCAAAGATAAAGATACTTATATTTGCTACAGAACATAAATCTACAAAATGCTGCATTCTATTTTTAATATATCTTTCATAAAATGTGATTGAAATAATCCATTGTAAACAGTAGCAAAAAATATAGACTAAGGCTCCTACCCCAAATCTCAGTGTAAAATTTTTTTCATTAAAAGATTGTTTTTTATTTTCATTAGTCTGTAATTCTGGTGTTGTTTGAGCCCAATATTTTAACCCTATGATCTAAGCATAATGAAGTATTATATAATTATATTAGTATATACATTTTTTTCTATTATTATATTATATACTAGTTTATATATATTTTATTTTTAAATAAGAAAAATTTAAGAATTGTCAACGCTTGTTTATAAGAACCAAGTATAAAAGTAATTCATTATTTATTTTGAGATTGAGGACTAGTAATTTTAAATTTCCTTTTATTTTCATATTTTTGTTGTAAAATTATAAACTATTAATTAGTTCAAATAATTTTTTAATAAAATTGAATATAAAAGAGCTTACCTCCAACATAAGAAGAGTAAATATGATCTGGAAAGCGATATTGATTCTACGTTTAGTTTGTATTTTAAACCACTCGTTAGCCACAAAGTACGTTCTCCAGATACTGATTGGTAAGTGTTGTAGATTGTCAACACTGCCGTCCTCGTTCGGATAGTCTAGATAACTTTTCATTATCGTCGATGAATCGTCGTGTTCAAATCTACTGCCATAAAGTTTCTTTAGTGATGTGTGTGGTGAATCGTATCGTGTCTGATTGTGTATTGTGTGGGGCTGCTCCCAATCCATGAAGAAGACGTTAATATTACGATGTCGATAGATGAACGCCATAATCTCCACTATCTGAAATATGTGTAAAATAAAATTTAACATTTCTTTTTTTAATTTTATTAAAGATAAATGTAAAAAACGTATTTTTAAATTAAAAACTGTAGAAATAAAATTGGTGGAAGATTTTTTTCATTTTTCATTTTAGTATCAGAATGTACTTTATATAAATTTAATTAAAGTTACTGTTGCTTAATTTTAAAGGTAGTTTCTTTTGATTAATGTATTGCTCTTAAATAAACAATAATGAGATTAAATATAATATTTATATCAATAATTAATGTAATTAAAGGTTTTTAAATATTTACTTTTAAATTAAAATGAAGGTATAATAACAAAAGTATTATTAAATGTTTTAGATAATTTATGATTTTATATTTTTCTATTGAATATAGATTCTATAAGATTATATTTAAAGTACAAACTGTTAATATTATTGATTTATCAATTTGTAAATTTAATACACACAAATTTCTTTTATTTTATAATTATTTATATTAATTTATAATTAATGCAATATAATTTTAAAATATTTTTAAATTTTTAACAGTAACTTATATAGTGATAATTACTTAATATTTTTGTTATTTACCTTAAAACAAAATGCTATTATTGTACATAAATATATCTTTGATTCAGTATTATCAGTAGGTAATAAAATATGCAAAACTGTTTGCCCTTTATAAAAAATGAAAGTATAAATACAAAAAGAAGTTGTTACTAATAGTAATATATTCCCAACTGCACCTAAGCAATATATAAGAAACCATATGATCACTCCAATATTTAAAATACCATTGAAATTTCTTTTGCAATAGCTCCAAGCTTTCAATGATGAATATATTATTGCAAAGCCTGCTAAGACTCCGATTGCTATCTATAAATAAAAATTTTATATAACAGTAAAAGTAAATACGTTTAATAGCATAATAAAAATCTTATTAACTTACTTCAATAGTATTATCTATATTCTTATTGGTTGAAATAAAAATTACTTTGTAATCTACTGTGATTTGTTTATTATCTTGAATATCCTGTTTCTTTAATTCATCATATTCAATAATTATCAATGGAAGATAAATGTGTCCTCCTTCTCTATCATTTTGTACTGTAATCCTTAAATAAATAACATTGTTTTAAAGTTTGATAAATTGTAAACGTAAGTGAACTTACAAAATTTTTATTGATTTCATGTATCGAAGTATGGAAAATTCATCCTCCCTTTTAAAACTATCATCTACTAAATTAGATATTGCCTTATAACTTGAAATGTTATCGATAAGAAAAATTTTTTTCAATGGTTGCCACTGTAAATATTAGAAAATCTTATTAGAAAAACTTTAATATTCTTATTCGTTTAAAATTAATTTAATATTATTAAAAACGAAACATTTTCTAATTGAAAGAGTTATGCAAGTTATAGAGTAAAATTTTCATATGATTAATTATAGAAATATTTTTACTATTGAATAAGTTAACTTTATGTATTTAATATTATTCTTTTAATAATACTTACAACTTTATTTTTAATAAAGACAGGTAAAGCGCTTAAAAATACTTGTCCATTCTCACTGTATTGTAAATATGGTACATAAAAATTCATTTCTCTAATGGTCAATTCCTTGGCATAGATGCGACATTGTTTATTAATGTTTATTCCAAATCTAATATCGTTAAAAAATGTGCAGAAAATGCTTGGGTTATCTATGTATTTTAAATTTCCATTACGTGTAAATGTGGCCATTGTAAAGTTTAAATGATTGTTCTACAAACAATTAAAAATTATTAAGCGAAATAAACAATATAAATTATAAATGTTTTATTATCAAACTTACCAAGTCATTTTTATTGAGAGTATACTTTACAGGAATTATTTTATTATTTACAATCATTGGATATCCACTCTCTTCATAAAACATCCATAAACCTGAACGAAGATCTTGCTTGGATTGGGATAATTTACATGGTATACTTGTTTCAGAAAGTGTTAAAGCACACATGTTGGATAGGCGCTCACACGCTATTTTATCCCCATCCTAATAAAACATGAAATAAGGAGAAGAAAAAAATTTACAAAGGGATATTATTCAATAAATTGAGTTTTACCTAATTAAAATAATAACCATGCATTTAATAAGTTTTATTTATAAATTTAATAATTTTAAATAAATTCTATAAAATTGCAAAGGAATCTTAATTTTGAATAAATTTCAAATAAAATATTTGATAAATATTTTATAATTAACTTTTTACTGATAATTATGAAGCATTATGAACTTTTTTATTTTATTGTAGCCATGAGATTATTTTATATCATTTTCTATACCTTACACAAATATGTTGATAATCTTAGCTCCTTTCTAAAGTAATAACTGTCTATGTTTTCATTTAAAAATTGTATCGAATATGTGTCACGAACATTGAAAAAATCAATGTCATTTTTTCGAAAACAATAATCGTCTATTCTTATATGACTGACAATTGGGCACGCACAAATACTATTATTATTTAGAGCAACATTGTGACAAGTAATACATTTTAATCCATCTTTTGATGGATAACTATTATTAGAACATTGAATGCATTTTAAAGTTTCCAGCAAATCTGCATTTGTATCTCTTTCAACTGAAAAATTAAAATAAATTTTTGAAGTTTATTATAAACATACATTAAGTGATAAAATTACTTTTATATTAATGAAAAATTAATTTGACTAGCATACTATATAATCGCAATATAAATATATATAACATATAAACTTATAACATATAGCATACCATATATATAAAATATAACATTAGTTGAATTATATTAATTAATTAATATAGTCTTAATATTATTAATATAGTATTTGTATTTTTTAAATTCAGTATTAGTTTCTGTATAATTTATATTATAACTCCAGATAAAATAAAAAGAATATATAATTATATCAGATCTATTAATCTGTCTGACAATGCATTTATTTTTAAATATTTTGTATTAATTAATAAAAACTTATAACAAAATATATATATATAATAAATTTATATCTTATTATTAAATAATAAACATAATTTACTATGTGTCATATTTCAATAACCTAAATACAAATGTTTTATGTATAGACAAGTCTTTTAAGTACCACATAACTTTTAAAACTTAATCTTTGATTTTTAGTTAGAATTTATAATATAATACCTTTTATTTCATTTGTTTTACAACTGCAGGTAAAATTATCATCTTTTCCACATGGTATACAACTTTTCTTATCAGAAGTTAAAATTGTACCAGGTTGACATCTTTCACATATTGGTAAATTATATTCATAACCGATTGTTCTACTATATTTATTACAAATACATGCAAAACCTAAAAGTACAATTTTATAAATTATTAATAAAATACTATCGTAATTATTAAAAAAAAATTTAACCATTTTCTGAAGGTATTAAATTCTTTTCATCATCACATTTAATGCATGAAAATGTATCAGTATTGAAGTACTCATTAAATTTACAATTTTGTGGACGATTATATTCAAATATATAATTGTCATGTTCATTAAATCCTTTGATAAATATTGGCAGTATCAATAATAAATTGATTATTTTAATTTTGGTATTATACAAAAGACACATTTTGTTAATGTAAGATCGTTTGTTTTATTAAGTAATTATAATTTTATTTAATGAATTTAATAGATCTAAATTCGTTTTGTGTATATAATAATACTGTGATGATGTTACTATGGTAACAAAATATAAGGCCCTATTATATTTATAAATACATATATTAAATTATATTTGAAAACTTTTAAAGCAAGATACCATATTTAAATATATAAATGTATGACAATAATAAACATACTTGTTCATAAAAACATATTTTTAACATTTGAATCGCACTAACAGAATGACTCTGATATATTTTTCCTTATATGTTGGTTTCATTGTGGCATATTTTTATAATATAATATAACGTAATAGGATCTGACATTTTAATCTATATAAACATTGAATTTCAAAATTATACTTGATTATAAATATACAAATGATAAGTAAAAAAATAATTTAAAAATTACAATGCTACTTCATTTATTTATTCATTTATGTATTTTTAAATTTTATATATTTCGTTTGTATGATTTAAAATTGGAACATTGGTTTATAAGACACATTGGTGTCTTATAAAATGAAGAACAAATGAAAAGATTGTAGATCGTATATAGGTCATCAATTATTCGTAAATTTTAGATTCTTTGTAAATGTTTTCGATATTATATAAAACGTAATATAAATACTATAAAATTTATGGACAGTAATAATAACATTAATATCGTTAACCAATTACCGGAACAACACCGGCTTATCGCATAATTACACACCTGTAGATTACAGCGATATCCAGTATACATTATATTGAATTATTAGCCCAACCTAATTACTACTTGCAATTATTGCGAGTTATGAAGGCTTTGTATATGGGCCAACAAAACAAGTCAGCATTGCACTTTCAAATAATGATCTTTTTGTCTGACTTCTTTTTATTACTTTGATCTGATTGAGAAGTAATTTGTTCTTTTATATTGTTTCAAGGTTATCACATAGTGTTTTTGAAGTTTAATGTTTTTAATACTTTTATTAGATACTTTTAGATATTAAACGTTCAAGAACGTCAGGTAAGCAAATCACAATTCAACATTATGTTTTGTTCATCACATTTTTTAATATGCGCAAGCATTCATATTTTAAAACTAATTAAATATTTTAAAAAATATAATTCTTTCTTACAAAATAAAAATATAGTTCAAATATCAGTTTAATTATTTACTTACAATTATATGTTCTGTTTTATTAACACAAAAATATCCTGCAAATCCTGCTTATAGCAATTATTTATTACAAAAATATAATTATTCGCAAGCAGTTTAGAATAGTTTTACTAAATATGTTAAATATTGTAATAGTAATTTTAACTGCTTTATTATTTTATGTTTATCGGTGTACTAATATATAAATAAATTTTTTAAATAATATTCTGTATAATGTAAATTCTGTATGTGCCTTTGTTAATATATTAAACATTATAAAACGTTTAAGAGACCAGTAACAAAATATAAAGATGTTCGATAAATCGGGAAAAATAAGATAAGATGGTTAGCTCAAGTTTATGTTAAAAAAATATAAATAGTATAAGGTGATAAAAAAATTATGATTATAAGTTACATTTATATTCTATTTTTTTAGGTTATAACGCAATATTAATACATTATATTGCTGAAGGACTTTTTATTCTAAAACATTTTTAAAATTTCGAGCTTTCAATAGTGTATTTTAGATAAAGTAAAAAATATTTTATGAAAAAGAGGAAAAAATGTCGAACATAAAACCAATGTCAAATTATGAGTAAGTAAAAAATTTCTTTTCTTTTTTTTGTATAAAGTTATTATTTATCATACAATTTATTTCTTAAATACTTGATTTCTAAGAATAAATATAAAGATAACAAAGCTAGAATTTGATTTAATAGTTAATTAAAATTAAATAAAATAATGAAATTAATTAAATTTGATGGTGTTTTATATGATATTATAAAGAGCAGATATATTGTTAATGATTTATGATATAATGACTAGCAATATTATTGTCAAATATTTCATTAAATATAAATAATACTTTATTTCATTTGCCTATTTTACCTTTATTGCATTATACTTATTATTATATTAAACTTAATTTATTCTTATTAATTCTTTATTAACTCTTACATTAAAAGTATTTTAACTTTTTTTAAATTAATAAAAATGTACTTTATTAATAGAATTCAACTTTTTTAATTTTTCTTTAAAAAATAATGCGATATTATTTGTTTTTATTATAGAAAAATAAAGACTTATAATAGTTTTAATAATTAAAATTATCACTTATTTATCATTTCTAATATTTTTTTTAATACGAAGGAATTAAAAGAAATTTTATTTTATAATTATTTTTAATTATCTCACAAATCACAATAAAAACATCATGGTGTTATTTTATATCTGATTATAATTTAGCAGAATTAAATTATTAACTATTATCTTTAAAATATTATATTTGTATAAAAGTATGTTATGATTTTCTTAACTATGGATTAGTAATATCCAAGAATCTATTATTGGTATTGTTGATTCATTTTTTTAATGTTATACAGAATTACATACTAATTTAATATTTAATGCTAAATGAAATTTTATTAATTGACAATCCATAATAGAATATTTATCTAATGTTAAAATTGAAAAATAAATATTTTTGGCGAAATATTTATTTAGCATACTAGTTTATAATACAATAAAACTTATGCTAATAATTTTATATATATAAATTATGATATATATATATAAAGTATTGTATAGTATATAAAGTATATAAAATAATAATATATATAATTTTATTAATTAAAAAAATTCATTATTATATTAATAAAATTACTAATGACATATACACATTTTTTGCATCTTTAATAATCAAATTTATTTATGCATTTATTATCTCTAACTTACCACTTTCAATAAATTAAAATTGAAAAAGGTGGATTAAAATGCAAACTAAAATAAAATATTTTTATATATTTTTGAAAATAACACTAATTAAGCTGAAGTTTCACATGCAAAGTACATTAAGTAGAGTATGTTATCTATGAATTAAAAAAAGAATGAGCTTTGATGTTAGACATTAAATGTAAAGATATATATACATTGAAATAATAAGACTATGAATTTAAATTGATCACACCCAATCTATGACTTTAGATATCAAAAGTGGGTTCTGTAAATATAAGTTTAAATAATTTTTATATAAATTTGTACAAGATATAATTTATGGAAAAATACAAGTTTTGTTTTAAAATCGATTGTAATTTCTATTTTATTAATTACTTTCATAATAAATTATTAGAACATCAATTTAAAATTTCACTTAAAATGCACTACAATAAATATAAATTATATTGAATAAATATAATATAATAAATCTGAAAATATTAAATAGTTGCATTGTAACTTGTTTTTGTTTAAAATTAATTCTTTATCATTTTCCAATTGTCTTGTGATTGATATATTTTTGGATTCCAAAATAATAAAAAGATTTATTTTAGAAATTCAATTATCAATTTGTTATTTTAAATATTTTAAAGTATACATTACATTTGAATTGTACATATGATTTTTTTATGTATATAATTTGTTAAATTTATTAAAAGATTAAAGTAAATATTATATCCAAAATATTTATAAAAAAATTTATACTGTTAATTATATTTTTAAATTTAATTTTTGTAATATTTAATTTTAGAAATGAACCTACACAATCTATTCATTTAGTTAATTCAAATTGTTCTTCTACGCAATCCCAGCCAAACATATCTGATGATGATTTATTATATGCAGTACCAACTAATTCGGCAACATTTAATTCTTATGAGTCTCTAGGTCCATATCATAATACAAATTTAATGTACACTAGGTTATTATTGTTATTTATTTAAACAAATTTAATATATCATTAAATATATATGTAAACATATGTTTAATTTGCTTATAATAAGAAGTATCGACAAATTCTTGTACTTGCAGAGGTATGGTTAAAATATTTAAAGATGGTCGCAGACATATTTCATCTGGAAGGAGTGCAGTATTTTATCATTTACCTGATCCACATAATAATATTGCAACATATATCCATTCTGTTTATGAAAAACGAGAGAAAGTAGATAATTATAGTTATTAGTATTTATTGTATTTTATTAGTTCATTTTACTCTATATATTATATTTTTATTAAAATATTTATAGGATTTTTATGAATATTATACAGAAGATATCGAAATTGAAACAGAAAATTGTAAAATTTGTTCAACCCCCACGATTTACAATTGCCAGAAATGTAACATAACATTTTATTGTAGTAAATCATGTCAAATAAAGGATTGGCCAAAACATAAACTGAAATGTCAGTCAATTCCGTAAGTTGTAATAAAATAAATGTTTTATTGTATTTATTTTGTAGTGATATTTTGATATATGATATTTTATAAAAGTATTGAAATATATTTATGACATTTTATAATGTTTCTTACTTTCTGTTAATTTCAAAAATGTAGATTTCATTAGAAAGCTTCAGAAGATTTAATATAATTTATTTTTAAATGAATATTTTAAAATTATTTTTAAATAAATAATGTTATTAACACTCTATAATATATAAATAGAACATAATTTTAATCTAAGTTTGTTATAATTTTGTAATTAAATAATAAGGAATTTTTACATTTACTTAAAATATTTTATTTTATTGTGAGCAGATTATTGATTAAAAAACAAATTAATGCATCTTCTACACAAAATATTAGTGAAGTTGACATTCAAGAAGATTGGGCCCAAGAACAAGTAAAAACTCTTCGTCATCCAAAACAACGAATTCCACAACCTGTTTGTATAAATGAAAATTTATACAATCAAACAAATTTTCAACATCAGCAAAGTAATGAAGGTATTATGAAGTTTAATGCATCATAAATTTTTCATGCATCATAAATAATTTTTCATGCATCATAAATAATCATATATTTTTATAGTTTAATTTGAAATTATATCTAATACTAATTTTATAATTTTTTTAATATAAATCATTGATATTTGAAATTTTCACAAAATTTTTCTTTATAATTCTAATAATCAAAATTCAATTTGCAAATTGAAATCATTTAAATTATTTTAAAAGTAAAATTTAAATTATTTTTTAATGTTAAGATTTTTTTATATTTTTATTCACATATATTTAGAAAAATTTTAAATTTATTGAATTTATTTATTTTTTATTTTCTTCTTGAAAAAAAAAATATTTAAAAAGGTTTTTGGTACATTAATAGAAATACCTTACCAGATAATTTTTTTACATTTCACATTATAAGAACGTTATAAACACATTTAAATTAAAAATATCAATAATATCCTACAAAAGAATTGTGATGGAAAAATGTGTATAATAGAAAATTATTTTAATAATTATTCGTATTGAAGTTTTATCCTTTATACTCTCTGTTATTCAATTATATTTTTCAAGTGAGTTTAAAATTAGTTTTGCATGTTAATGTACGAAATTTCTAATAAGCTTCATGAATTTTTAGTTGTATTAATATTACACGTTTAAATTATTTTTATACAAAGTAATTTAAGGCTATTTGAATTTTTTCTTGCAACTATTCGTAATATTTATAACTAAATTTTGGTTGAATACTGAAATGATATACATATGTTATTTTATAATTTCACTACAGCAAAGCTACTATTAATTATTTATATTCATTTAATTTATTTAAACGTACTAATAATTAACTATTTACTAATAATTACATATTGAAAGATGTTTCAATAATTATTACTACTTATTTTATTTTATTTTTTATGAATTGCTTTGTTAATTTATACCTTCAATTCTATTAAATAGTAATATTTTCAATAATTTTTTAATTTTTGTATTAAAAAATAACATTTCCTACTTAATAAAAATTCTCTTAATTGTTATTAACCTAATATTAAGTATAAAGCAGAAACCAAATTTATTATACCATCAGATATTAGGTTTCATATTATTAATTTAACGTAACAAATTTAATACAAAGTTTTTTTATATTTAATTATGAGGTCTTTAGGAACACTTAACTGCTATAAGGATGTTCAAGATAGAGATAGTGCTTCTATGCAATCGATGAATGTCATTAATAATAAATCTATTATAATGAAAGATCAATCTGTATCCATCCAAAATAAAATGAATGATCATATAGTTGACCAGGTAAACAAAAATATTTAAATTTGAAAATATATAATTGAAATGATCTAAACAACTGTATTAATATCTATTTATGTATTCCATCAAGATTGATTAATAAGTTATTCTTGTATATTAATAAGTAAACATATGATTTCTTATTATTTTAAAATATTTTGAATAGCAAATTATAAATTTTCTTATTATATTATTACAAATATCAAGACATAATTTTTATATGAATTATTGCATTAAAAAAATAAAATAATAAATAATAACTTTTATAAGTAGTTGGAAAAATATATAATGTAATAAATAATATGTAGAATATTTGATGCTATATATTATAACATAGAATATGTATTGTTCACTTTATATTGTACGATAATGAAATCTTACAAATTAAGATAGATCGGTCTTCCGTAGATATAATAAAAGCTTTGAGAATAAAATATAATTACTGAACAATTATCCGGTAGTAAGTTTTACATTATGTAGAATGAAATACAAAAACAATTTAAGTATAGAAATTTAATAATAAATAATTTCATATTGACTTACTTTTAATTGTTTAGATGTCAAATTGCAAGCTAAATAGTAATTCATTAGTAGAACATTGGATTACAGAACACGTCAAGAATGATGACATTGCAATCGCAAAGCTCGCAAAATTACCGACAATCATGGATGTTTTGAAAGTTGATGAAATAGGACTAATTTTATTTCACGCAAGAATAAGTAAACGTCAATATAATATAACTCTGGTTCCAGACAGGTTTTTAGAAGACTTTCGAAATTTGTTGGATAATTTAAAAAAACATTGTCTGGAAGAACTGTCAAAAAATTCCAATTTCAGGTAAATGAGTGATTGTTACTATTTTTAATAATCTCATTTAAAGTTAAAATGTATTATATTGATCTTACGTTTTATAGCTTTTGTACGTACGTTTACTCATTAAAATATGTTGAAACAATAAGAATAATATTTAATTAATAAGTAATTAAATAGCAACAATATATGTTCACATTATTAAACCTAAATGGTAATTTATATTTTATAAATTTATTAATGTCTATTAAAAAATATTACCTACAATAATACAAATAAAATTTTATTAAAAAAGTTTTATTTGGAATTTCTGATTATGTAATTCTTTTTTAATTTAATTCATCGTAAAGTAAATAAAATTTTATAAGAAATTTCTTTAAAATGGTTACTAAATTACCAAAATAGTTTTATTGAAAAAGCAACTAAATTAATAAATTAAAAATTTTCATTTCCTTTCCTTTTTAAAAACTTACAATTCACAGTTTAAATAAAAAATGCAGAATAAAATAAAATTAAAACATTTAAAAGTTGTAAATAATTAAAATTTTCTTAGAAACCAAAAGATAAGAAAAATAAGTTGCACATAAATTTTATTAAAAATTTTTAAGTTATTGGATATATTGGAATTTCTTGTAAGAATGAAGCATTATTATACAATAAACTGATTACATATTTCAGACCTGAAGTAGGCGATTTAATTTGTGGTGAGAGTAAAGAAAGAAAAGAATGGTTTCGAGGTGTAGTTTTGTCTACAAAGCCTGCTATTAAATTAGCCACAATCGACGAAAGCAGAATTTTTGTACCTATCAACTACACGCCAATGCCTTCGAAATACAATAGTATTTGTAGTATGGGTCTTGTTTGTGAATTTCCTCATGATAACGAAATGGTATTAACTATAATTTTTTAGTATGTACCTTAAATTCATTGCAGTATAATAATTTACAGAACAATTATACTTGCATAATTTATAATAATATTATGCAAGAAGTAATCAGTAATTAAATTATAATAGTTATATGTAAATTTTGAAATATTTAAATTGTATTTAAACAAAAATATAATATGTAAGATAAATTTAGTAATACAATTTTTTCAGCTTACTGTCATTAAATCTAATATTGGTAAATTTACAGTCGTGGAAAAATCAAAAGATGTCACTCGAATTAAAATAAATTTGAATGATGTTTTAGTATCTGTAAATAATGTTTTATTAAAAACGTGGATTCCTAAAATAGAACAAAAAAGTTTCCAATATGTATCTTTGAAAAGTGGAAATAGAGTATGTATAGATAATGCACTATTTAAAATAAAATATCAATTGCAAACTTTAATTACAAATATAATTAAAGTTTATAATTTTCAGTATTTTTAATTTTCAAATATAGTTATAATATTAATACAGGATGTTTCAAATTATATATAATAATAAATAAAAATATTTTTGCAGGTTAAAATTGTACATTTGTCTAGTAAAAATTTGTTGTACGTACATAATTTAGAGAATGAAGAACAAGAGTATACTCATAAGCTTGAGCAAAATATTGCTAAATATGCTATAAATAGTATATACCCTTTTAATATATTTTTTTATTTTTCTATTAAATTATTAATCCTCTCATTTATGATAAGAAAAATTGATTTATATTTCAGAAAAGCCTTTCTTTGTAGTTCCTATTGTTGGACAAATTGTTATGGCTCAGTATCAGGCTGATAATAATTATTATCGAGCTATCGTAACCAAAGTAAAGGGTGAAATTATTGTAGTAAAATATATTGATTATGGAAATGACGAGATAACTACGTTAGATAAAATTTTTATTTTACCAGATGATTTAAAAGAAGTGAGTACTTAAAAGAACTAATTAATTACTGCGTCCAAATAAAACGTTAAAAATAAATGTTATTTAGTTTTAAATATTATATGTTTATAATATAATAAAAATAATACTCATAAAGTTCTTGTACAAAATAATTTGAAAACAGATGCAAATAAAATATTCGATAGTTATAATTTTAATGTAATGATAGATATTTTATTTTAAATTATGATTATAACTAAACAGTATTCATCACGAGTAGTAAAAATTAAATTAAAAGGCCTAAATAAAGATACTCCGTTAAACCAAAATATTATAAACTATATTCAAGAACTTATTGTCAAATCAATAGAATTAATCTGTACATTTGATGGCCATCCACTTGAAGATGGAGTAGAATTAGAAACACTTGAAAAAAAAAAAGTTAATTTAAAAATAAACACTTTAATTACACCAAACTTGGAACAAAATAATAATGAAGAAGGTAAATTAAATTAATATACTAAAATTAGATAGTGAAAAACGTGATTTTTTTTGTTAAACACTTATAAGCGTTTAAATATCTATAAATATTATCTTCAGATGCATATTTTTGACAAAGATATGCCTTTTTCTTATAGTATTTATAATTCGTCTAAAATAAATAAATTTGTATTAAAAATATGTTTGAAATCAATTAAAATTCGTTTAAAATATATGAAGACATTATTTTAATTGGAAAACGTTTATAAACATAACATTTATGTACAATTTCATTTGCCAGTACTAATATTAAGTAATGTTGTAGATGAAGTTCAGCCTGCAGATTTAAAAATACTTCAAAAATATATTAATTTAAAAATGAATACTTTAAATGCACCAAACTTGGAACAAAATAATAATAAGGAAGGTAAATTAAATTAATATACTAATACTAATACTAAATTAATATAATATAATAAAATTAGAGAATGAAAAACCTAATTTGTTTTGTTAAAGAGTTATAAGCATTTAAATATCTATGAATATTGTCTTGACATGCCCACTTTTTTTACAAAAATACGCATTTTTCATATAGTATTTATGGTTCAGTCAAGTTAAATATATTTTTATTAAAAATATTTTTAATTAAATGCTTTGAAATCAAATTTGTTTAGGAGTTATTAGGAGTAATTAAAATTAGGAGAAAAACGTTTATAAAAATAATATATTTATGCGCTATTTTATTGCAGATAATATAATTTATAGTTTGAATCATTTACCAGTACTAAGATTAGGTAATGTTGGAGATGAAGTTCAGGCTGCTTTAATTTTTTATTCTAATAATTATATATTTTTGAGACCGAGTGATACAGTAGTTGCAAAATCTATTCAAGAAGAAATGGTAGAGAATGTATGTATTTTTAATTTAAGTTAAAATAAATTTATACTTAATAATACAGGATTGTAGAATAAATTTTGGATTTAATACATTTTTTTATTGTCAATAAGGAGCTCTCTAAAAATTTTATTAGAATAGAGTATCCTAACACAAATTTTCTTTTTTTAAATTTAATCTATTCTACTTTTTAACACTTGAACATATTTCTGTTCCATGTGAATATTTTAGTTTTATCAATATTTTTATATGCACTATATGTTTTTCACTAAGCATTATATTAAACTCTTATTTGTGTATAAAAATTTATAGTTATTAAAATAACGTTTGTATTTTATAACATAGATAGAAAAATACGTAAAGAAGCATACAACCCATTATATCCCAAGGGATTCTGAGCTCTGTATAGCAAAGTATAAAAATAAATTTTATCGGGCACTTTGTCTTGATTCAAGTGCCACACTAACGACAAGTTGCGTGTTTTTCATTGATTTTGGATACATTGAGTGCGTCGAACATATAGACATTCGTGTTTTTACTCAAGATTTTGCCAAAATTGGAACGTTTTGTATACTCTGCACTATAACACGTAAGTTTATTTTTTAATTGTTTCTTGAAATTGAGTATTTTTTATTTACATAGCATTTAGTCAGCTAATAGTAGTTTACTATGCATTTCCAAAAATCAATATAGAAATAGATATTAAGAAAATGCTTTTTTAGAAAAGAAATTTACATAATGATTAACAAGTAATTAATAGTAAAATTAATTAAAGTTTTTTTTTATTGTTTACATTATATTTAAGTAGAATATACATGTTTCAGGATAATTTCAAATAAGATACAAAAGTTTAGAAAGTTAAAATAGAAAAGTTAAAATAGAATACTATAAAATCATCGCTAAAATCGATTAAATAACTTTTTTTATTTATCGTTATTTGTATAAGAATATGAAATAAATATAGTAATCTTTTTATAAAACTTTACAAATGTAAATGAAATATATACAAACATGTATTTCTTATATTATATATATTTGTAAAGGTAGTCATTTTTATATTATAACATTATTATCCATATGTTACAGCTATGGTATCCTCAAATAAATTAACCGATAAAATATCTGAGCGCATAAAAGAACTTATATTAGAATCTGATAAAATCAATATCAAAATTATCAACGAAGATGCAGGTGGTATGCTCGACATTGATATACCTTCGATTCGTAATAAATTGATTGAAGAAAAACTAATCTAAAATATGTTTTAAATAAATTTTATATTAATAAAAAAAATTTTATTGTTTAATATAAAAAATACAGTTTTTTATAAAAGTTGTTATATTTTTTGTATACCATATCACAAAAGACTTAAAATATGCTGATGTCAAATTGATATCAGGTATGATTTTTTAAGAAATGTTTTGTTTTATAAAAATATTCTTAACTTTAACAACTGCCTTTATTAAGACGAATCCAAATTGTATTTAATTATAATTTTAATTTAGATTATTACTTTCTTGTCTACTATTTCTCTTTTAATAAATCAATTAAACTAATAAACTTTTTATAACTATGTGTTAAAATGATGAGATAATTATAGTAAATAGATGTATTATTACATTTATATCCAAATATTTTATTATATATTTTTTTAATTAAAAAATTATAATAATTTTTTATAGTCGAAATATTAAAATAAAATAATGCAATAAATAATAAAATGTTTTTATTTAGTATAGTTTTAACAAATTTCACATTTACCTTAAATTATAAATAAAAAAGAAGTGTTTCTTTGTAATTTCATAAATAATTTATTATTGGTTATCACTAAAAATGTCCACATATAATTAAGAAATCATTTATTAATTGAATTTAAACTATTGGTCAAATCATATTGATGTTTTTAAAATTACGCGCTAATTATATATGTAAAGATATTTAATATTTTTAGCACTAGAGGGCTTTGACATTCAGCAAAAAATATTGCAATTAATTTTCAAAGTTATTTTCTATGAAAACATAATTTAATGTTTTAAAAAATTACTCAATTGTCAATTTATTCATTATTAAATAACGTCGAGCTGTATTTATTAAAAATGTATTATAAAATATTATATTTCTTAGTTATTCTAATGTAAGAATAAGATATTTTTGGCAGTAATTCATAACCATATAAATAAAAATTATTTGTCATTGTTATAAATTTTGTTGCATATGATTTGGATAGACAATAAATATAAAAAGTATGCAATGAGTGTTCAAAATAGATACCCTTACGAAGGTTTACTTCATAAATACACAAATGCCATGAAGGGTTGGCAGTATCGTTGGTTCATTTTAAGTCCAGAAACTGGTGAGCTTCACTACTTTCTAAGTGAAAATGAGAAAAATCAAAAGCCTAGATGTTCAATTTATCTTGCTGGTGCTGTCATTGCTCCCAGTGATGAAGATTCAAATACATTTATTGTCAATTCGGCAACAGGTATATTATTTTCATACTAATCGTTAACTATACAAATTTATGAATTATATCAGTTGATATTTTAAATTAAATTTTATATTGTGGTAAAAATTTGTTATCAACAATTGTATTTTATTATTTAATATATAATTTATTAATTTATAAGATGAATGAATCAAGCGGATCATTATATATGAATTTTATAAAATTTATATTTATCATTTACAGAAACAAAGAAATTTGTAAAATGCTTTCTTATTTATTAGTTTGGTAATTATAATTTTCGTATCAATATATAAAAATTAATAGCATAAGATTATTTTTAATTTTCATATTTTTTGGTATATTATAAAATAAGTTCTTTGGAACATAAAAAATAGTTTTATTTCATTTTAATAAAATCAATATATGATTCTTTAATTTTTATATATATTTTAATGGCTTACAGAAATTTCTTTGATGTAAAATTTATTAGAATGCCCTTTAAGCATAATTAAAATAATTGACCGTATTAACTGTATTCAATCATTAACGTATGAAAAAAAATTTTTTAAATACTTGGTAGGTAATAATTGAATATCATATTTAAATATTGTGTAAGTAATAATTGTTTAAAGATACTGTATTTAAAATAAATTAAGGTATGTAATTGTGATCTAGAATAAAGATTAGTCAAATAATAAATATTAGTTTATTATAATAAATATTAGCTGATGTAAATATTTTCAATTTATATATTCTAAATTTTTAATAAACTTATTAACATTTATCTGAAATATTAAAAGCATATTTTATAAGTTTCCAAATTGATAAAGCATCTCTAAATCATTGGTATAAATAAAAGTAATTGAACAGGTATCGTCAAATCAGTGATTTATTTTATATTATATAGATAAGTTAAATCAGAATTTTTAATCTTAAAATAGTTTCATTAATCAGTTGTGCATTAAAATTTGCTTAACTCAACTTCAATAACAACATGTACGTTGTTTGCTTTGCTCATAAAACAAATAGTATTGTTGCATTGTAATATATTAGCTGAGTGCTCACAATTAATTGAGATTATTAATTATCTGAACGACAATGAATTATATGTTAATATGAAACAATATTAAAAAATACTTGATTGGTTCAAACGTTTTTATATTAAATGCTTTTATTAGAAAAAAAGTTATTTCAACTACAGATTCATCAGTGAAAAATGAGTTAAAACCATGTAATGTGAATGATTATTCAGTTCATTTTAAATTTAAATTTTATGCTCAAAGCATTTTTTAACATCTTTTCTATTTTATATTTAGAAATGTTTAAAAAATTGTTTAATGTATACTAAATGTAATTATTTACATAAATATAAAAATTATATTAATTTTAAGATTTTGTTAAGGTATTGATATCTGCAAACACAGGTTACATCAATATTTATGAAACTAAAAGATAATGTATATCAATATTTCTTTAATCGAAAGAATGCAACTTTGTAAATATACTTTATATATATTCATTATTATAAATTATTAATTAAAAATATTAGGATGGTTCATCCATATATCAATATCTTGATTGCACATTAATATTTTAACATTAAATAATGTTTCATTTTAGGTTTTATTATTAGGTAAAGATAATGTTGATTATAATGATCTGATAGTATGGGACTAATAATTTTCTAAATTGATTTTAATGTTATCAGAACAAAAATTAAATAATTTAATTACAATAGCAACAAATAATTAATTTATAGTAAATTGAAATTTTTAGATGTAGAATTTTTTAATTTATAAATGTAAATTATATTGAAATGTGGAATCGATGGAAATTATGTAATATTTCACTACAATGTTTCAGTAAATTATTAATTTTATTATAACCAACTTTGCATAAGTATTTAAGAAAAAGTATTTCGTTTTTTGGGGCACATAGAAAAGTTCAATTTAATAAAAGCTCATACCGACGTGAATGGTACGTTAATATTGATATATTGATATATAATTTAGTTTTAAGTACTATATGTGTGTGTGTGTGTGTGTGTGTGTGTGTGTGTGTGTGTGTGTGTTGTAGTATGAAATATGTAAAATTTGAAGGATTTAATATCGCCTCATTAATTTTTCTTTTTTTTTTATGTTATAAATTTTTAAATAAGTGTGTAGGTGGTACGGAAAAATTTGAGTCAAAAGGAAAATAGTTTTACTCATATCCACTTATTTCTAATGGCTATATACACTATACTTTAGTTATTTATATTTAAGTCAATATTTGTATAATAATAACAAATTAAATGTAATTTTGTGATTGAATCATTAAAAAGCAGTATTCAAATAGCATTGGCCACGGAAAACAAGGCGCAATGGTTTTTGTATATTTGCATTATTACTGCGCACAAACATTTCAGTAAAAACAAAATTAATATATCTGTATTTGCATGAGTGAAATAGAAGTTTGTCAGCTAATAGTGAAAGCAATAAGAGAGATTAAGTGGAATGGTCCCTGTTTGTTGACAGGCGACATGATAAAGTTGAGAGCAACGGACGCCCGGGCTCGCCAAGAATGGGTGGATAAGCTACGAGCGGTGACGGAAATGTACACTCGGGCGATAGCAAGCAGCCATCCACCACTGCCACCGCGAGAGCATCCGGGCAATATGTGGGCGAACCCCGTGGCAAAGCTCGATGTCCTGGACGCGTTTGCCAATTGTCGAGAGCAGTTGAACCGAGCAGAGAAGCAAAGCCAGTCACTCGCCCAGGCGATCGAGCTCTCGAGTCTAAACCTGGACCCTGAGCTCCTATTACTCAAGGCCACCGCTCATGCAACCGTATACACTCTCAATCAGTGTTTTAACATTTTGTATCAGTAGCGTGGAGTGCGCGGACTCGGGGCTCGGGTCATTCCCGCCAAAATCAACGGGGGACTCTGGTGGACAGGGGCCAATGGTCCGGTAAACGAACAACCGCGAATCAAGCCCAGGGCGAAACCCCCGCCGAGGCTCGATCTGCGCTGAAAGCCACGGGCTATCTCTCACTCTCTCTCTCCCTCTCCATTCTCTCTTTCTCGCTCTCTCTCTCCATTCTCTCTTTCTCTCTTTGTCTCTCTCTCTCTCTCTCTCTCTATTCTCTCTCTTTCTCAACCTGTTTTTATTATACTTGTTCAATTTCCTCCTGGCGAGATTACCCAATATTTTTAAATTCAGGAGGCTTAGCTATGAAGCGAAAACGAAAGTAATCTTATACGTAACGTTTCTTACGTCGCTTCAGCGCTAAATTTCTTTCCTAATATTCAAACCATTCTTTAAATATATTTAAAATCCATCTTAAGTGTATTTTGACTTCCATAAATATAGAAAATATTATTAATTTTTCTTTTGTAAAATGTTCAGTTATTGTAAAAAATGTATGACTTTGTCCATTATAATTGTTATTCCTTTTTTTTTAGATAATACGTCATTGTGTGGTAGGAGAACCTGATGAAAAATTTTTTTTCTGATATTTTCAGAAAAAGTATTCTTAACAATGATAACCAGTTTGGAATATTCGAACGTGTTTTTTAAAAGATTTTAAAAAATCTTTTTTTTCTGACAATCGGAACCAAAAATCTAAAAAATTCAATATGAAATAATATTGAATTAACTCAAATTACAAAGTTTATAAGTATGTCATCAAAACTAGATTGATTTCGAAACAATAAGATATTTTGCATAATATGCAACTTACAAATCTAATCTGGTATTTATAAAAAAAAGCATGTTTTATATTATAATTTTCTGCTATGGGGTTAAACAAAATACACGTAATACTTCATATAACATAATTTTATCAATGAGGATACATAAAGTATCTGCTAATTTATTATTTATATATTTTATTTGCTCTGATTTCTATTAAAGTTTAATTATCTATTGTATAATATCGATGATTTATTGTATATCGATATTATACATAAATTCATTAATAAAATATTGATAATTTATGTTAGTTAATATTTAATTATTTGTAATATATTCGATTACATTTCTCATTAACTTGACGAAGTCCTTTTATTACTGTCGCTTTTTTGAAAGATCTTTTTCTCGAAAAAAGTTCCTTGTTTTATAAAAATATGTATCTTATTACATTATTTCGCATTATTTTTAATTTAAATTTCTTTGAAATTAAAACAAAAACATAATTTAAGCAGCGAAAATTCAATTTGAAAAATGCTTTACGATAACAAAATTACAAAGCGCATTTAAGATAGAGCTTTAAAGAATTTCTTGGATTTTGTAAGTTAGAATATAAAGAATTGCTATTTATTTTGAAAGGGAATAGCAGTGCTAGAGTTTTATTTTAATATTTGCAGTTTTTCAAATTGAATTTTCGTTACTTAAAATATGTTTTCATTTTAATTTTAAAGAAATTTAAATTGAAAATAATCCATTCTCGATATAAAACCCCACACAGTTAAGATAAAAAACCATAAAATGTTAATAAAGTTAAAATGTTCGAATATTCCAACATTATCACCCAATTGAATTCTAAAGTTGACGAAGCTTCGATAGGATATGAAAATATAAGTACAAAATATTTTTTATGAAATTATTCTATATGATCAAATATTTTATTATGTTTAAATATTTAATGGATCTTACGAGATCAAGTGTCATAATCTTCTACATATCATTGTTTTATAACAACAAAAATAAAAGTGTTAGAACCTCTTGCCTTCCATATTTCTAATCTTTTTATATCATTCTGTTTTCTGTCAGTTTATAAAATAAGATTTTGTTAATTATATGTTTTTCGTTATGTATATGTGCTTAATTATACTTACAGATAGCTCTCATTTAGTTTTTACTATAAAATATAACTTTAAGCAATGTAAAAAAATATAAGCACTTGTAATTTCTAGGCGTAACATGTAGATACATATTTTGTATGTAAGTGTACATTGTTGAAGGATTTCAGTGAATAAAAATTGACTGTTAAAGTTTTTTTATTACTTTCATTATTGTATTTATTTATATTTAGAAAAACCTTCAATAATAATTTTAACGTATTTAGTATCTAATTAAATATGTGTATAATTATACAATAACCTTTTATTTAATCTATGAAGCAAAGATTCATAACGTAACATTAATTTTATTTAATTGCTCTTTTTTGTCTAATAATGAAATGTGATCTTATGGAATCATATCTATTAAATATTAAAGTAATTTAACTGACACACATATTTGCAATACAGAAATATACGAATTTGATAAATTTATGGTTAATATGATCAATACAATAAAGCAATTAAACAAACAATTTTTATTTAAATATCTATTATTTACTATCGAAATAGCGGGATATTATTCTTATATTTCAGTTGTAAAATTTCAGGATACAATATAAATTTCAAATAATTACATATATGCAAGTTTAAGTTAAATGGTCCAGGCATAAAGAATATTTCTTATTTATTATTTTTACATTAAGTTTAATACAAATCTTATAGAATGATGTTTTTTTAGCAAGATTTTAGACTTTTTTCAATCACCTTCGCCTAAAAATTCCTAATCAACATAAATTAAATATATATGTACATTAATTTTAATTTATTAAATTAAAAATAATTTATTTGTTTTAGAACTTGTTCTGAAATGTAGATAATTCGTTTTATTACTATTTAAAGAACAATCTTATAATAAATATATTGTTATATATTTATATTTCTTTAATATTAAGTGGACTACATTGTTGATTGAATCAAGCGGGAAAAAAAGCAAAATAATATTAAATTTCATTATGAAGTGCATCTTAAATTGCATATTTAAAATGTATGTATATAAATATATTCGAAAATTATTTATAGAAATAATATTAATATTAATATCATTCATTTCTTATTAATTTATCTATTATTGCAATTTTTATATATAATATAAATTACGTGCGAAGTGTGTGCTAAAATGTACAGTTAAATTTATCTCTTAAATAGTCTAAAAAATTTATGATGGTTATCGTGGAAAACTAATCATAATTACAAGTATTATTTTAATTTTAATTTAAAAATGTTATTTTTATTTAAAATGTTATAATTGTAATATAATAAATTGTAATAATAAATAATTGTAATGTAATAAATTTTTATTTTAAAATGTTATTATTTTATTTTATAAGGTGTACGTATTTTCGGTATTTACAAAATAATTATTTGTTGCATGCCTATTCAAAAGTTAAATGCATAAAGTTTATTGTAAAATGCATGTTTTAAATAATTTTTTTTTTAATTGCATTGATAGTCTCTGCATTTTTAATGTAAAAAAATTTTTAAAATTATAAAAATTTTTTTTTTTAATATCATTTGATTAAAATTTATGTAATAAAGACAATACTTTATTATTAAATATAAACACTAATAATTTTAAAGTTCATTATGCCACATAATTATAAATTTTCCATCATGCCGATTAAAAATTGGATAATAAATGCTTTAATGCTTATGTGAAATTTTAATTTTGTGAAAATAATTTGCATATTAACGGAATAAATTTGAGAAGCTATATTCAACTGATAAAGTAATAAATAATTATATTTATGTAACAACGGTAAGGGTATTAAAATTAAAAATAAAATTGTCTTTTAAAAATTCTGCAAAAGTGCTATTTCGAATCATCGTAATGTCCTCTATACATATACAAATTTTCTTTCTCAATGATCAATCACTTGATTTCCAAAGGAACGATGAACCTTGAAACGCTAATAACATACGAGATTCACTCAAATCGACTTTAAAATCGGTTCCGATTATGCTTTAGAAAAAACTAAATAAGTGCTCAAATATATAATAAATTCGATCTATCAACATTATATATTTACAATATTCTAAAAGCTTAATACTGGATTGATGTGCGTATTCTTGTATACAGTTATTCAGAGGTATATGTGTATGCGTATAGTAAATTTTTTAATCTAAGTTGGATCATACAGTATGGTATTGATTACATAGTGAAATAACAATTGAACAATAGATAAATGAAATGATACTCGAATTATTTTTTTATCATTTTGATGAAAGACCGACCGAATACTTTTAATTACATTTTATATTATCACTATCATATACATGACTGGCAAATAATTGATTGTATTTCTAGAAATAATTAAATTCTTATATGTAATATAACACAAGTACACGAGTTACTGATTTTTTATGCTTTTCACCGATTTCATTGTCATTGACATAATATCTACTATGAAGGCTGTAGGTCCTATTGTCAAGGGCAATCGAATTCAGGTGAAGGTGAGCGACACACAATGGAATGGAACTTTTACCAGGTCTGCCGATCGCTTGGAACGTACAATGTAAGCTGAGGCTCAGTTAAGGAGGTGCGCATTATCGAGTCGTTTCGATTTTTTGCAATTTTTTACTTCTCAAAAATTGTTATCACCAATATTATATCTGTGCGCTATTTACTAAATGGTGAGTTTGTATCTATTTTTTTTTTTTTTGTACAATAGCTCTTTGATTTTCGAACAGAGAGGTTGACATTATTTTGAAATAAAATACACACAGCATATTGTTGTACTCTAAAAAAATTTTAATATATATTCTAAAAATTTATTTTTTAATTTTATTTCTGATTCTGCCAAGGTATTATTTCATTATATTTTTAGCGAATCATTGGAGATTTAAAAATTAGCTAGAATTTTCACATGCTTGCTTTTCTAAGAGTTGATATAGTTATAATAATACGTTATAGAATATAGATAATTTGAATATTTTCTATATATTAATGAGAGAATAGTAGTATTTAATAACTTTATTTTTATAAAATTTTATATTTAGAAAAGGCACATTTGTATTACTTTATAATAATTTTCTAATACTAATTACCTTTTTTTTTATATTTTTTCATAAATACCTTTTCATGCTCATTAAATCCAAATTGCTAATGCGTATGAATTTTTAGAAAAAAATAAATACTGCAATTCATAAGAATTAATTAATTTTTATATTAAAAATCAAATGGCTGATGTAAGTTATATAATTTTATGTAAGTCCTTTAGTTTATTCTTTTTCAATATTCATACAATAAAAATGAAAATCATTAAATCTAGATTTAAATGGAAGTTTTGAAAACTTATGAATATAATGTATTCCGAAAGTTTATTGAAAATGAGTTACGACCACGAGGAAAACGCACGTTGCTATGGACCAATAATAG